ACTAGAATATCAAACCTCCCTTCTAAATTCCATGTTTTGCTTATATTTTAGAGAAAAGGGACTTTGACTGGGGGGGGCCAAAATGGTTGAGTGGGGGGGCCACCATGGGGGCTGGGGGGGCTTTGGCCCCCCCAGTTATATAGTTAAAAAATGCCCTGGTACGTAGATCGCATGTTACGCACTCGTGAGCTTAGCAAAGTGCTCCAGGATTCAAATTATAACAATGGTTGATTTCTAAAGGTCTCCTTTTTCTAACATATGCACTCATCAATATTTCATGCACTACGGTTCAGCGTATGTGCAATTGAAAGGCATTCAAATTTTAACAATATGCTTGATTTCTAAAGGTCTCCTTTTTTTTATACACCCTGTATAAACATCATGACATAAATTACAAGAAGTGACAAGACATATCAGCTTAGTGCTAGGGCATTCAATTTCTACCAATACAATTATTTCAATAGTTTGGGGGTTTTTTGGGACACCCTATACAAAAGATTGACTTCAATGAACATTTCTCTATTGTCTCCAGATTAAGTTAGCTGCCAAACAATAGTGCATGATTACAAACAGATGCTAATATACATACTTTGTTTTGTTCTACATGCAACTCCGTGATTATCGTCTCGTGCATATACAGGGTGTCCCAAAAAATCCGAAAACTATTGAAATCACTTATTGTTAAACGAATTGAATGCCCTACCAAAAAGCTGGACGTAATGATGTGTAAAATATTGACAAGGTGTATACCTTTGTGGAGAAACTTTTCGAGTAATTGAAACAAATATTTTGAACCGAGAAACGCCAAAACAAATAGATTTTATGGGAATAGGACGTCAACTCCCAATATTGAAGGTACGTGAGTTCAATATAATTCTTCATTCAAACGTCGCTGGAATTAGGTCTCGGCACTAAAATTTCATTACCGTCTGAATCAGCCGAAATCACAGATTTGGGCATTCATTTGTGTGTAGCAAACGTATTTGTAGAGATATTTCTCGCTGTTGTTACTCTGAGAATGTCTTCCGCTACCTTTAGCTTGCTGGCCAACGATCCACCGTAAAACTACAAATTTCTGACTGCCAGCTAGCCCACAATCTTTGGTCAGACATACTATAAAGAGTTTAATTTGATGTACATCGACGGCAAAAGCAAACTCGTTCACTGAATATGTGACTGTATAAAGCAAACTGACTTGCCTTGGATTATTACTCGTATGAATTTAATACATTTTGGGGAGGGTAAGACAGGGCTTTCGAATATTCATAGCCTGAAACCCGAATCAACCGAGGATGAGAGTGTATGAGAGTTGGCAGTCACCCAAATCTTGGTTAGCTGTCCTTAATGCTTTCTCAACACTATCATGTATTTTATTCAAGTTCAGTAAAACGTCGCTTGGAACACTTGGAACAGCTTGAAATTGCCCCTGTCACAGTTCGTGTCTGCAAACTGTCATCGACTCTCATTCTCGTTTGACTGGGGCTTTAGTTCGGATTTTTGTGCTAATCTTATACATCTGTCATAGAGTTGCACCTACCAGTTTATACTATTTAATGTAGCAAACACTCCAAAAACAATGTTTTACTCTTTTAAGTGTTCGTTCAAGATTTCTGTATCTTTATGATAAATTACCTAAACAGTCAATCATAGTAAAAATATTGTTCAAATCTCACACTATTGCCTGTATTCTAAAAGCTCACTCACACTCAATGAGTGGAGGTTAAATCTGAACTTCTCTTGAGTGTCAATGCTGTTTTTGAATAGCTGGATGGTGAGTAGTCACATAGTAAGGTACGACACTAACCATCCAGCTATTCAAAAACAGCAATGACACTCGAGAGAAGCTCAGATTGAACTTCCACTCATTGAGTGTGAGTGTAAGTGAGCTTTTAGAATACGGGCGTATATCTTCTTTCATTGATTTTGGAACTAACATGGCCACATTTAAGTTCAGCAGGCAACCTGCAACCTGCAACCACTGTAAAAAAAATACTTTAGTAAGATGTACGAAAATTGTCTTCAACGTTAATTGTATGGCCGCTTAACATGTTATATCGATGAAAAATTTAAATGAAATAAATTTTAGTTCTACTAATCTAAATCCTGCATCACGAAGAACCATTGCTCGAAGTATTGCTGGGTTTCAGTCACATGATACGTTTAGCGCTTGGTGGTCAACTCCCAATGGAAACACATTTATCGGATCGAGTTAAATATTCAGTATAAGTATTGATCTTGTGTTTGGTATGAAATATATGCAATTTATCGAAATTTACTTGCTTCCACAAGGCATAAAATGGCAATATGTGTAAAGTTGACCACGAAGCGTTTCCCTATATTGTATAAGTTTTGAGTGAAATCCACATATTTTAACTTTTTCAGGTTGCTAAACCTGAACCATTCTGGTTTGACCATATTTATCACATCATATACACCAGGATCACAGACACCTTGTGTACAGGTTGTACCAGCATGAATATAGGAGCCACAATGTGAGAGGAAGGTCGATCTGGGACTGGCCACATGTTGGATTGGGGAGCTATTTATGTCCGGTAATTTTAAAGTTCAAGGTCTCTCTAGAGAAGTAGCCTACTGCCAAACTTATCACCGTTTCTGTTGCTCGAAAATTGTGTCGTTATACTTACGAGTCCCATGGAAGATATTGCCGTGATCGACGCAATATCTCTTGGCGTTCCTCCTAATCATGCTAAGCTTATTAGGACCAGTTTGCATGATACATCCCAAAATCTCCTTAAAAAAACCCAACATGGCTACGACTGTTTATGATTACAGATTTTATTTATTATTGATCCTCGAAGAAACTATACAACAATAACTATTTTAATCTACAAACAATATAATCATACTAGAACTAATTCAAAGTGTCTAAAGGTAAATAATTGTTCAGTTCTCTTTGTTATCCAACACGTTCGTTTTGTTAATTCACTGGCAGACAAAGTACCAGCACGACCTAATTACAAGCGCTATGTTCCACGTTTTGACCACTAATAATCAATACCATTCACTGCTTTATGTATGAAGGAAGGCCAGGTTTCTTAGTTTGAACTGGTTCTTTAGATTTTTTCAATTTTGTTTTTCAGTACGAAAGTTCTTTGAAATCGTTGCACATTTCCCCCATAATTCCGAAATTTATAGTTTCTCAGTAGTATTTGGACAACCGACCATTTGTCAAGTTCATTAATACCATTCGCTAGCTCCGTATACCAACTACCATAGCTTGTTGAACTGAAGTTGTATCATTACCATTCATCATACATACGGCACACTGTGATCAAGATCATAAAATCCACACGCATATATTTTCAACAAATACTGATATCACGCATCATGCTGTGCACATCACAAGTGGCACATACGAGCGTGAGATATAAGGACGGTTTGTCAAACGCGTATATTTCAACAATGAGAATAATGTACAATTTTTCTCCACGTGAACGACTCACGGTCTTTCGAGATGGTATTAATGATATTACTTTTAGCTTTCCAATATAATGTTTTCAAGTTATGCTGTATTTGGCATTATTCCCGTATATCAGTCACATTGTGATTAGGAGTTTGAAATCCATTAGTTTCTTAGTCCGATTCAACCGTTGCATAATAATGGTGCGATACAGAAATTGTTCCTAAAGGCGTAGATTTTCAACGATGTAAACACTACATGATTTTCGTTATTGTCGAAACGACTCGCGATCCTTCGAATTGCTCATTAATTTCCTTTTGACTTTACTGCAGTACGACGTATTCAAGTAACCATGTTCATTGTTGGTATTCCACACTAATCATCGATATTTCAACATAAACAAACCACAACAAGCTTGTGGAAGACACCGTTGCCATTATTCCCGTATATCAGTCACATTATCAGATCAGATATTTTCAAATCCACTGAGTCACCAACATATAATTATATAAACCGCGTATTATAAGTGATGAAACTGTAACATATTCAGCAACGGTTCGTAAAAGCCGACGTATACTTTCAACGATGACAACATAACGTCCAAGTGAATCACTCACTAGTCTCTCGAGATGGTCGTAATATTTCTTGTGATTTTACAGTACAATGTTTTTAAGTCAAATCCATATGTTTATCCCAGTCTTGAAAGCTTCATCGAACTTCCCAATAGACGTGTGCCCATCGTGGCAAAGCAACAAGCTTTAAAATATTTTTTACTAACTCCAATAAGCCAGTTTAGCGTAACTATACTGCGCATCCAATTGAGTCGGGTTAAAATGTCTCTTTCAATATTTTAAAGTAAAATATGTTTTTTACTTTAACCGTATATCGTACCAAAACATAGCTGTATATTCTTGTTATTCTGAGGAACTAATGAGTTCAACAGAAAAGAAAATGCTCTACTGAGTACGTTACGATATGGTGAAGTGAAAAACAGGCTTAAGTTTTAACGAGAAGGCTGTGGATTGAGAGGGATACAAAAGGATACAACATCGAAGTTCTGCTTGTATTTTTCAGGTAGTTGTATCCCTCTCAATCCACAGTTGTCTTGTTATCGTCGCTACCTTCACTGACACAGACCCTTCCAGATTAAGTTTTGATGTTTTAATTATGGAAATAGTTTTTTTAGAAAAGACGAAGTTTTTAGACGATTGACTTGCTTCAAGTTACAAAAACATTCCCGCAAGTACACTTCAATTTTTTGGCTTACACACAGAAAAAAGTCAAAAGAGTTTATTAGGAAATTAATTAAATTGACATTTTTATTATTTTTTTTGTAGAATATTAGTCACTGAATATTTAAAAATATAAATACGTTTAGTCTCAGCTAGATTTTATGTAATTCAGTTGTATTTTCTCCCAACTCAGAACACGTTATTTGGATACACAGTCAAAATGTCGAACTGGCTTATTGGATTCGACTAAATTGCATGTTTTTAACTTTTCCATGATGTATTGATAACCAGAAAATCATCATTGTCAAAATTGGGGCTCTTTCTTCATCTTTTTGTTTCATTTATTTACTTTATTTTTTACTAATTTACCCAAATATACTATATGAACAACTGTATAACATAATTCTTTATAACTTACAGTCACTTGACTGTATTCTATTGTGCCAAGTATGTTATTTTATTTAATATTAATGAAGGCGTTCTTTTTCAATGTTGCTTTGAAAATGTTATAACATTTCATAACGCCATAATTTTTTCATATTGTGTGAGAGGATTATTCCATAATAGACGTCTTACCCTGTTTACGTTTCAGGCAGGCAAAATTCACTCCAGACCACCCACGAATGAAAACTTTTTATTGTGAAATGTATTTATTACACATTAACTAAAACATGTCTCTTTACATTTACTTTTTATGGGCAGATACATGCCATTTGCTGGACTATAAAATCATTAATTTTTGAAAGCACAAAAGAACAATAATCAGGAATGAAATGAACTTTAACACTTCAAAACCGCACGTGATAGTTCATGATGAATGTGCTGCATGAATTTTGTTTTCTGGGTACAAAAAACGTTTTTGTTCTCTTTATTTTGATTGGAAATCTCGTGGTAGCACATTTTCTTTGATATTATAGATCTAAGTTTGATCCATTCGCTTCTTGAAAAACATCTATACAATTGGAACCAGTCCACAAGGAAATGTAAACAAGGTAGGGAATCGATTATGTTAATTATCACTGTATATAGGTTGCTTCGTTCTCCTAAAAACCCACAAACTTTAGTCTTAATCAAACTTTGGTAATTCATAGAAAAACGTATTCATAGAACAATATATGAAGTAAGAGCCCCAATTACAGTAGCATCAAGTAGCACTTGATAACTACTTTTCAAAATGCCGAAGATAACAACCCCAAACTTTTATTCACCGCTAAGAGCATTTCACAACGTCGTGCTAAAATATCGCATGAAAGCCCGTCGTTTTATATATTTGATACCATATGCCGCATTGAATGTAAATGTAAAAATTTATGAATGTCTCTTCAGATATTCAAATAGCTGGTACCTTGGAGCAAAACTCGGTTTAGACATTGGCGTGAAACCACAGGCATTTTCTGTTGAATAATTTATAAAAGTTGTGCACAATGTTCTCTGAGACTTTCACTGCGAGTTTTCGGTTATTTGATATCCAAATCCTTCAACACGTGAAAGAATAAGCGATTAATTAATGCAAGCATGCAGTTATTAGCGTTAACATTTTCTAAGGATAACAGAGTATGGAATGGCATTGAGATATAGTGTGCACTATTAACAATAGCAGTTTGCAATGATTCCAAAATTTTTAAGTTTCTTCTTTCCTTTGACAATTATTTGCCTGTCGTCAAATTTGATCCTTTGATCCTACATGAGCAGGTCCTAGCATGCATGTTTACCTACGTTCGGTCGAAATTCGTCGAATGACATTCGGATGCGTTTTTCTTTCTTGTAGTTTCAAATGATCTCCCTGTTTTGCCAATACAATTCCATGGCCAATGTCCACAAGAGATTTTGTTTGGTCCCCATGCATGCAGGGTTAAAATAGTTATATTAGAATCATTCCGCACTGCTGCTGTTGTTAATAATGCATGCCGGTGTGACAGCGGATTTGGACTCCCCGCGGATATGGACCCCCCGGTCCATATCAGCTAGCGGATTCGGACCCCTACGGTGCATATCCGCTAGCTGATATGTACCCCCTTCCGCGGAATTGGACCCCCTAAAATTCACAAAAAGAAGTTTTGAAACGATTTGCAGTTGAATGTGCATGGAAATTTAGGCGTCAGTTTAATTTAAATTATGATAACTAATGGCATGACTCAACTATCTTGGAATTTGCTTAATGACGAAAACAAGTATTGAAGTGCTAATTTTATAAAAGTTTAGGGTTGAATGGAATGCATCACTTTGTTATGGGTATGTTAAGCCAAAAATAATTTGAAATATATTTTCATTTTCCGTTTTTATTTGAGCAGTTAAGAGTCAGAGCAGATAGCAATTCCAAGGAGTAAAATACTTGTGAAGGCTTCATGCGCTTCTCAGTTCTCGCACATTCCAAGATCATAGAAATAAACTCATGTAGCAGAAAAATTATAAATCATAAACATTGACGGAAATCTCTAACCTAAAAATGTAAGATTTGATGATCAAAAATCTTCGTACGGTTTTTAAAAGAAATCAGATGAGATTTATGACGATTTAAAACGCTTTCAGTACAATATTCAAAATACGATACGTTGCAATGATAAAATACGCGAAGGGTCCAAATTCGCGAGGGGAGTCCAAATCCGCTAGCGAATAAAGACCCCCATAGGTCCATACTCGCTAGCGGATATGGACTCCCCGGTCCATATTCGCTAGCGGATTTGGACTGGGGGGTCTATTTTGAGGGGGGGGGGGGGAATCTGCTGGGACACCGGCAATGACTCAAAGAAGTTCCCGCTATAATTCCTGTCCTTGGCTTAGAAAACATAACGCTTATAATTGTATTAATGGCCAGCATTAATTTAGCACTGTCTTCTCAGATGATGATGCATTGTAGTCCAGCTGAGAAAAAAATTTAAAAAAAAATTGCGTTATGTGAAAATGGAATTGTTAAATAATAGGACAAAATATTTAAAACCCAAATCAAAAGAGGGTCAGTGTGCATGAGATCTGGTAGTCATGCAACCAACGTTATCTGTTCTTTATGCTTTCCCAACACTATTATGTATTCTATTTTACTTTGAACACTTATCAAACCTTTATTTTATGATTTTGCGTGGAATCTAGAGCTTCGAATGTCATCTGTAGCAATGGGTGACTGGCAACTCTCAGGGGCGCCGGAGCCACGGGGGCAGTGGGGGCAGCTGCCCCCGTTGCCTAAACAGTGCGGGGGCAGCACGGGGGTAGCAGGTTGCCTTTTTTACCAGAACTGCACTTCGAACGTCGTACGTTTTTCACATGAATTGAAGTTGAAAACTGTTTTTAAACAATTTAGCTCATATTTGAATCTGAATTCCTCTCAGAAACGTTACCAATCAGCTTCCACCTATGAAAAAAAGGGAAAAAGAAAGCCTTCCTAAACAACTGACAACTGTCATGTTGCTTTACAATACATTTTAGTCTTTAGTGTCATGCAACGAATAAAAATGTTCCAATCCATGCCGAAATTTATCTAACTGTATTAGCTACAAGTAATGAAGTATCCGGTATACAGCAAAATGTTAACGAACGCCCCCCCCCTCCCCAAAAAAATTAAGGCTCGAGAGCAAGTGCCCATTTTAAATGGCTGCCCCCGCCGCTTCATGTTGCTTCCGGCGCCTCTGGCAACTCTCATCAACTTTCATCATCGTTTGATCAGGTCTTAAATGTTTTGAAGGGAAAATACGTCCAACATTCAACATTCTGCAATTTACGCATGAAAAACACTTCATATGTAAAACAATCTAAAACCATTGTTAATGTTACAGGACACCCTTTTTGGCGTTTTGTGGAAAACCGCTATTGCGCGCTCAAAATCAGTCCAATTTTCATCAAATTTTCACCAAATGTTAGCCAGTGCATGCAAAATATGATAAAGTTGTAAAATTGACAAACAATAAAGTCGCGGTACCTTTACGCTTTTGAGTTATGTTCCTGCTGGTCTTAAGATATATTTATGAAAATATTATTTTTATACAGTAAAATAGTTGTTCTAAAAAACTGTGTTCGGAAATTTTTGTTTATTTCGTCATTCCGCTGATATGGCGATTTCTTTGACGACTGCAATATATTTCTGAATCGTTTGTGTGAATTGCTCTTTATTATTAAAATATCCAAAATTAGAACAAAGCCGAACACAATTTTGAAACTGACGTCTTTAGCTATGTCCTGTGAAAATTTGAGAAAAATTCGTTAAAACCCGCAGGAGCACAACTCATTTAGAAATCAGTAATTGCCGTAAAATTCTTCGGGAGAAAATTGAATTTGAATATTACATTTTCAATGTTTTTCTTATTGCAAGCGAAATGTATTTTATTATATAACTCTGCGAGTTTTCAACATTTTTCGTTCAAACTTGGTCAGATAGTAGACCTAGTCTAATGCTTTCATGAAAACCAATAAAAAAATTTAGGCAAAATTAACACTCAAAGGTGTTCTGTAACCTTAAAGCAAGGAAGTGTCAACGTATAGAAAACATTAGGGAATTTTAATTAATATAATATTATATTCAATGTGTCGTTCTGAGAGAAAAATAGTGCTCAAAATTTGCTCGATTTAAAATTTTATTTCCTGAATAGATTTTGCGTTGTTTCTCGGTTTTAAACTTTATCATAATATTATTCAAATAATTATGCTAAAACTTACATACCATTGCAAGTAAAACAACAAAGAGAAGTTATTTCCATAAAGTACCCATCACTTCGGCCCTCTAGTTGAATGAAACCTTAACAAGCGTTTTCATGGTTATTAGTAATGGTAATTGAACTGAGTGGAGTGCAATTTGGTCTGACCAATCAGATTGCCAGAACTGCCATTGGTTTCAAAATGACTATAGTAAAACTAAAAAGAACAATAAAGCAAAGTTAAAACATTTACCATCTTGTAGTGTTTGTAGTTCCTGTCAATTATTTTCATTTACCGTATCTCTCTCCTCCGCAGAACCTCCTTAAGTATTTACAAATAACTTACATGAAGTTTCCTGAATAAAAGTGAGCGCGCGCGGTGTGATGGGAAGATTGAAATGAAGCTCTTCCCATCACTCCTTGCGCGCTCACTTTTCCCTCACTAAAAACTTCATGTAAGCCTCTGCGGAAGAGAGAGTTTACCGTATGTGAAATTATATGATAGAACACTTGCAACACGTTTTGGGAATTTCAGTCGGGGTGGGCGGGTCATTTATATTCCCACCGTGTATCCAGCAAGAGCATTCCAGTAATTCATTCGCATTTTTACGTTCCTGTGGCAACCAAAGTTTAATTAGTTTTAATTTTTCGTACTTGTGGCTGTAAACAATAATACCAACTGTATTGCGGCATGCAAAAACACCACATGGATTGTAAGCCTCGCCCAAACGACGCATGCCCAAACTGATGCAAGTTAATATGTCACAAGTTTTGACATTGATTAAACACAAGCAATCTTCATATCCTCCACAAAGAAGGTGTTCCTCGTCCACAAATGCAAATGTGGATTGTGGTGCTTCATAGAGAGAAACTTCGCCACGAATGTTTAGTGTAGCAATGTCTAAGATATAGCATATTTTCCTGATGCGAATTACCAGCGACTGTCCATTAGGAGAGAAACAAGCAGCACCTACATTGTAAGTAACGACTTGCGGGATGATATTGTTAAATACACATGAATTTAAATCTACACTGTTCGCATATTGTAATAAATATTTAGAGTTTCCTTCTCGCATCAGCACATGATATAGACTACTGCATGCAATCACGCTCGTCATAGAGGTGTCATGACGTATTAAAATGTGTTTAGGAAATGGTGTACGTGCTACTATTGTTTTTTTCAGAACATTAAAAAAACAAACCTGCGACTCCATAATACATGCTACTAAATCTTGTGTGACTGAACGACAATAATAAGTACCAGTCAGTTCAGGAAAACTGGCGAGACGTTGCGTCACTCCAAAATTCCACAGCTCAGGGATGCCTTTAAACAAATTATATCTACCTGTAGATAATACATTCAATATCTCTCCGCTAACGAACACGCCATTTGTTACCGGAACAAAAGATGTACGTGCTATACAGTCGTATATTATTGGCATCATACGAGAACCGGCAATGGATTTTACTGACCGAGGCCAACTAAGCTTTACTATAGAACAACCTCTTGTTTTGTCACATTCGTAAATATATCTTCCGTCCACTGAAACAGAAAAACATAAACTTAAAGGAAAAATAAATTTATTTGCTTGTTTTTCCTTGTTTGAATTCTGGATCAACATAGTTAGCCTAAACAATTCTATTTCCTTTGAGAACGTTCTATAAAGCAAAACGCTTTCATTTACGGAGGATAAAAAAATTAGCATTGGTGCCTATTAGTTCGTCAAACAATGAGGAGTCATCACTTTCCACTATTAGCGCTTGGAATTCAGCGTCAGCCCTCGCGTTACGTGGGCATGTTGAAATATCGTAAAATTGTGTTGAAGTATGTTTAATTGTTAGATCATAATGAACAATTTCGGTTTCTATGGTGTAAGAAGAAGTTAGTAGCCTATAACCAATCCAGGAATCTGAGCGAAACGTTGAAACTAAGGAAAAATAGTCTTCCCCCAAAGACCTTAATACCATGCTGTAACTATTCTCAGTATCGTAAACACACAACTCGTTAATGTTTGTTGTTCCAATAAATCTGTCATTAGCCGAGAACAAAACGGAAAATAATTCTGACCGACACAAAAGACTTACTATTTTCTTATTTTCAAGTAGATTCCAAACTGTCATATGAATGCCGTAATTTGTTACCATTGTCGTTTTATCGTGAGAAAAGCAGCAACTTGTAAACTTATTGGGTACTTCTTTGCACACAATCCGTACAGATTCAAATTTTCCTTCGAAATTAAGTACAGGAGTAAGTTGCCCGGGAAAAATTATGTTTTTAAGAGGGTGAAAAACAATGCAACGAGATTGTACTATTTTACGAATAGTTTCTCCCCAAGCCAAAATCCTTTCTACAACAAAATCGTCAATTCTCCAAAGGGGTACGAAATCAGGAAGAGCGAACATCTCAACCCCTCTTTCATATCCACATATGAGGAAATCTTCTGACGGTGAAATATCAATATCAAAAATTTCGTTTCCAGTTAAAATACGAGCTATCATAGCCTTTTCACTATTTTCCATTTCGTCTTCCGATTCGAAATATGCAAGCCCCCTGTAGCGGGTCATTAACAAGACAGATGCTTTGGGTGAAAGTACGTCATCATTTTCGTTGACAACATGCTGCAAAAATGACCGTGGAGCACTTTTTAATATGTATGTAAACTTTCTTATTATAGAGATGAGCGTTCTTATGGTAGTTTGCGTTTCCTCACATATTAAGCTGTTGTGCATATTGTAGTAGCTTTCTAGGGTAGAAAGATTGCTTAAAGTTGTGTAAATATCAATACAAACACTCGTATGCACAATTTCCAAGTCTGTGACGCAATCTATCAATTTCGTCAGAGAATGTATGTCTTTTACTTCCGCCTCTAATATATGTTGTATTCCGTACTGCAATGCATAGACGATAGCAAGATCAAATGTTAAGTTAACTTCGTATTGCTTCAATGTTTCCATTTGAAAAACACAAATATCCGCGAGCACTCTATGGCCATATGTCTCAATGATTGTAAAATCATGATTTGGTTTTACTAACCAATCTTTTACTGATTTGTGAAAAAACGACACGGATTCATCCTTGATGACAAGGAGCGAAGAGAGGCAATTAATCAATTTCAGCAACGTTCTGCACGCACTAGACAAATCTCTGTCAGAGCTAAGTAATCTTTCCAGAAGTGCTAATGGAAGCGGTTGTTTTGAAACTAATATTGCGCTTAAAAATTTTAAAAATTGTTTCTCATCAATACCTAGATCTCTAAGCTCCTTTTCAAGACGATTGAAATACTTATCGTAGATCTCTTCAATACCTCCAGGTAAGTCTTCAGTGTTAGATATGATGGAGCCGTTTTCAGAAAGTTTACAAAGAAAAGATGCATAGAGCATCAGACCTTCAGATTTTTTAACTAATTTTTCGACAATCTCTCCACTTGGAACATATTCAGATATGGTCGCCAATTTATCCTCAAAAAAATGTCGAAGATCCATTAAATTCCGTTCATCATCTGGCCCTAGAAACAGCGGGTTTAATCCTTGGAATTTACGGGCAATATCTGTTTCTGGTCGGGTTGTGATTAAAAATCGAATAAATCTGGGAAATTTGTGAAAATGATTGGTTATTAAATCAACAAGCTTCTGCTTTTCTTTCTGCCGGCATTCGTCTAACGCATCTATTACGATTAAAAAATGATTACCTGGATCGGGAATGTTTGTAAATGGTTCTTTAAACAACATCGAGAACATCCCTTCGATGTTCTGGTCATCCAACAACTGCGCTTTATTACCAGATAAGTTGTTAGTAAGGTTTTGCTTATATTCGGGAATGACATGACATAGCTGCCATGCCAACGACTGGAGGAAAAACTTTGGATCATTGTACCTGCTATTGTTATATTGGAAAAAATGGCAAGCTCCAAAATGTTCCGGGAAACGTTTACATGTAACTGCGGCGATAGTAGACTTACCCATTCCAGCTTGACCAGAAATAATAAAGGCACGATTATTAGACGATTTGCCATTTAACCATTTTGATACATGATCAAAAACCCACTCACGAGTGCCTTGTGTGTAGTTTTCATAAAACGATTGTATTTCGTCTTTAAAATCATGTTCATGAAGGCACTCACTAAGGATGTCTTTTGTGGAAGACTTAACTTGTATCAAGGATTCATCAATCTTTTTGGATACTTTTTCAAATCCGGAATCAAATTTTGATTCCATCTTCTTTTCCATTCGGTCTAGTTTTATCACTATTTCCTTATCACTTTCATTCCATTCTTTTCTGACACGATTCACTTCCTCCTCTCCACATTCCTCAGCCTTCAATCTGTCAATTTCGTCTTGATTTAAACCCAAACTACGTAAAGCCGAACTAACATCTACCCAATGAGCCTCAAAATCTAACCTACTAACATCTGTGCCAGGGACATGACCAAAGAAATTATTGCGAAACAGCCTAATACGAACAATGTTCGCTTCACGAGAATTCTCAGTGGAACCTGGCATAACATTCCACCCTGTACTAGGTGGAGATAAACTACAAATATTTCTTAACAGGATAACAAGTAATGTTATATCAAATTCTTGAATATTTGGAAAGCTAGGGTGAGGTGGGTACAGTTTATCCCATTGTGGTTGTGTGATTATTTTCTTAGTCTTAAACAGTGGATAAAGTGTAGGACAATGAGTGGACAAAACTGCATGCAAATTACCTGGATGTATGCTTAAGAAGATGTTTCTCAACACCTCTGTTCCTCCATCAACAATCAACCTCATCAACTTAAAACCATAGATCTTTTCTACAGAACTCTCAAGGACTGACGATGCCATGATTGCAGTACCTATAATTATTAGAAAAAGGAACAAATTGTAGACAAAAGCCACAATGTAAAAGAGAGGAGATCTTTCAATCTGTTTATAATTTATATATCATCGCACAGCAGAATTGCGCCGAGTTCTCTGTCAGTTGAATGATAACTGTAACTGAGAGATTAAAATATGCATACCAAAATATTCCAGTTGAATACTTGATATGCATATTTTAAATCTTCTAATCTAAGCTACAGTACAGGCGCAGAATGCGTTATTTGCATGCGCAGTCGACATTATGATTCGGCTTATATCCTGTCTACAGTGAATCCATTGACATAATTTTTGAATTGTGGATAGAACTGCCTATGACTTAAAGTTAAATATCCTTCTTGTTGATGGTTCATCTCGAATTTGCCGATGAAACGTTTTTGAACTTTAGTAAATTTCATGTCCGCATATCTGAATGTTCCGTGTCCGCATGTCCGTGTCCACATATCCGCGTTTTCCAAATAACGCTACAGGTTGACTAGTATAGCTAATAGACGAAAACAGCCATGTTAATTAATAGTCATGTCACAATAGGGTCAAAATTTTAGCGCCATTGCTCAATGCGCCATTTATTCTTATAAGCTGGGGTACAAACTGGAGCATAGTAAAGACGGAGCCATTGTTCACACAAAACCGCGAAGTGCGACGTGTTCATCTCGCTTCGCTTACAAACCGTATTCAAATCATTACGGTAAAACTGACGTTTTTAAACAAGCTCTCTCTGGCGCAGTGCGACTTTTCATTTTTTCTACGGCGTTTCCAAACGCGCCGGCGTTGTGTGGTCGAAATATGTCAGATGACATATAACATTACATATCCCTTCCAGATAGTTAATATGAAACCTAGTAAGCAAATAAGTTCCTTTCATAGTGAATATAATACATGTCTTGGTTTGCGGAAAACCCAATGCATATTTATTCTTTCAAATCGATGCATATAAACTCTGAGACTTTATATTTAGACAATTTAGGATATTGTTAGTATTGTTGAAGACACCCGGGTTTTGACTCATCGACTGTTTGCCACAAACCGAAACTAATCCATGCAGTAAACAAAATTGACGGCTTGACTTGTAATGATGGCATGGTTTAAGGTGAAATTTTGTCTTGAAGTTTAGCCAATCGTTTCCTCATCTCTCCGTCAGATTTCTTTAATCCTGTGTTTTCTTAGCATTGATTTCCAACTGCTAAATGTGCGCATTCGAGCATTCATTAATTCTGGCTGTATTGGCCATGCTACCCTCAACAATATCCGGCTTTGAGCATGATATTTTCACATATTCAAAATATTTGTAAACTTTTATCATTACATTCATTGTTTTCCTCCTTTGTCTCATCTATGACTGATTTATGTTCTTTTGAACGGGTATATTGAACTTTTTAGACTGAATTTCTCGACGTTTGCGCTGAGGTTTGCACAGACGCAGCGCATTTGGCAAGCCATATTTCGCAATACAAAATTTTTTTGTCCAAGAGCCTGTATACTATAATAATCAGCAAATTCAAAACCCTGAGTTAATTAAATAAAACTTACCGTCTTCAGTAAGTTACATGTCTGTTGAATATTCCTTTTACTAGTGAATTTGGTTGATTTTGCAAGCCCGCAATATCACTTCAATATTTATATTGTTCGGATTATCATTACAAGGCAGAGTACAAAACATGGTGTGGTCTCATGGACTGTTGAACTCATGGACTGAACTTTCAAATTTTGACAAAAATTTCGAAAAATGTAAAACTGGAAAAATTCGCAATTCGTTATTCATATTGTCGTAACACTAAACAGTGAAGATACATGCGGAAAGAATTATATTTATTATATTTAATACAGCGCGAGGAGCGTCTTATTAGTCGCTTCTACTTGTCCGCTATATGAAAGTGTCACAGATATTTCCGACCGTTTTAAAACTCATCGAAAGGTTGTATTGTTTAGAAACGATCACTACTAGTTCACTAGTCTAACAAATCATGTCAAAAAGATTATACAGTAAAGTTGTTGCTGGTAATTGTTGAATCCGTGGCGATGGATAACATACAAAGATTCAATATCGGTCGGTCAGTTGGTTCATAGAGGTTTTAGACAGGTGACGCCGTAAAAATATGAATAACGTCAGTTGAAAATTTTTATTTCAGTTTCAAATCTGGTTTTGGTTTGTTGAAGTAATACTTCAAATCCAACTATGAGGACTGGACTAGATTTCAAGTCCGCACAATTTGATCAAAATGCGAGGACTAGTTGAAATCTAGTCCAAGTCCGAATTCTCGTACGAATAAATCACTAGCGTGAAAGTGAGATGAATTAATATTGATCCAGTCTAATGAGACGACAAAAAGTTATCCCGCTAACTGGGAAAGTTGTGTTCATATGGGAAAAACATTATCCCGGTCACCGAGATCTCGCCTGTCAACAAGCGAGATCTCGGTACACGGGAAAACTTTTCGTCTCATATGAACGCAATGTAACTTTTCATATTATTTTCGTAACAAGGCAAGATCTTGCTCGTAAACTGGTCGAAAAGTTTTTTCGGAATAAACGAAGAAAAGCTTGCCCGGCCTATGTCATATCCGTTTTACGTTTTGGGTAAATTAACTTCAATTTATTCAAATTTCTGAAGCGTGCGTGAATGTAAATTTTCATTTGACACTTATTAAAATGTTCCATGGCTAGGCCGGACTTTGTGCAATAAAATATACCCTGACTATATATATACCCAAACAGCCAAACTATATATATACCATAACTATATATATATACCCAACCATTAAACATATGTCCAAACAGACTAAAAAGTACAAACTGTTAGGCTGTTGAAGGCTTGAAGCTTGTCAAGACATCCAATTTCTGAAGTCGAAGGCAAAGTTGAATTCACACTAAATGTAGCCGGCATAAACGTTTTATTGCAACTCGCAAGTCGGCTTGAATCCCAGTTTCCTCACATTTCGCTTTACTTTAAGTGGTATACCAATAGCGTTTAATGCTGTTTCGTGCACGTTCGTTATCGTGTTGTCTGGCTCACATATTAAACCGTTCTTTGAAGCTTCTCCGTTTCACCGTTTGTTTACCAACACCAGGCATGCTTTACAAATGCTATTTGTAGGTGAAATGGAGAAGGAAAGGTCGTCTAACTCCTTACGTATGTTCTCCTTGCTGTCCAAGAAATTAATATCGCTTTTATTCGACGGGACTTTCACTGACTTTGAAGCAAATAACCGCCATGGAACATTTTAATAAGCGTCAAATGAAAATTTACATTTGCGCACGCTTCAGAAATTTGAATAAATTCAAGTTAATTTACCCAAAACGTAAACGGATATGACGTGGGCCGGGCAAGCTTTTCTTCGTTTATTCGTAGACCCCCCACGAAACGTGTTTCTGCTGGGGTCTACACCGTAGGCCAGGATAACTTCTGCCCATACGAACAGGCCCTTAATTAGTTTCTTTGCGGAATAATAATTTAATTAGCCGATTAAGCGCATACATAGTCTGCTCGCAGACTGCATCCCGCTCCCGCGCGGGATTACAGTCTGCTGTCATTCGACGCCAATGCCGTACAGCTACCAACGAAATATGATGGGCAGTTTTTCATTGGTTCGTTTCAAAATTATACTTGCATAAATTTGCTTAGCTAATTTCGAGACAAGTATACCGGTTTTACCGATTACATAAAGTTTCTGGGTGCTGTTAGGAAAGACATTACCACACAAAAGAGCATTTAATCTTTTGGGATGAATAAATTTGGTAGAATTTACAAAACTGGCATATTTTTTTGCGAGTTTATATTTCGATTTCGTTGTATTGTTTTGCTTGACCTTGTCTATTGTCTATTGACCTTGTTTACATAATATAAGTTTTATTTAAAGTAACGCACCTGATTGGATAATAAAATTAGAAAGCCATTAAAGTGCTGAAGTGCACAATATTATATTTATTTATACGTCTACGTCACTGTACAGCATTAGTGACAAATGGTCGCAGACTGTAATCCTTCCACCACGGGGGGGAAGAGACAGTCTGTGCGCAGACTAGCGCATACAGTAATAATAATAATAATAATAATAATTTAATTTGTGTTGCCCAAGTTCCATTCGGATATGCTCACATGCGCATGACAGTGGTATAAAACAAAATCTAAATATTTATATAAAAGATAAAAGATAGTTAAGACAGTCCAGACTATTCATTAATAATCAGTTTTGAGTATATATACTATTAGTTTCGTAGAAGCTAAGATATTATTATTATTGATAAAATCATACTGTTTTGTTATAAAATATTATAATACGCTTTCCTAAATAAGTGTGTCTTTAAGAGTTTCTTGAAGCTCCCGATGGAATCAGCTTGCTGGATGCATAAAGGTAAATCATTCCACAACTTTGGCGCTGCACATCCAAACGAACGATCACCAAGAGTCGGTAATGTTTTAAGGGTAGTCTTCTGGAGCAAAAGTTTCGAATTCGATCTCATGCTATAAGACGATGGAGGTTTGATGGTTATAAGCTCAGAGATATAGTCAGGTGCCAAACCGTGGAGTGCCTTGAAAGCAATTAGTAAAACTTTGAAGTCAATTCTGAATTTTACTGGCAGCCAGTGTAGATCCATCAAGGTTGGTGTTATGTGGTCAAACCGTGAGACATTGCATATCAGTCTCGCTGCTGCATTCTGCACGCGTTGAAGTTTGTTAAGCTGATTCGCAGGCAAACCATAGTACAAACTGTTACAGTAGTCTAAACGACTTGTCACAAATGAATTAATCAGTATTTGAGCGGTTTCATGTGTCAGGAATTTTCTTATCCGTCTGATGTTGAATAAATGGAAGAATGCCGCCTTACAGGATCTGTTCACATTGATATCACATTTCATTTGGGAATCAAACCAAAATCCTAGATTCTTAGCTTCACTAGACGCTGTGACATAAGAATCGCCAATACGTAAAATATCAAAATTGACTTTTTCGAGCTGTTGTCGTGTACCGATAAGCAAAAAATCAGTCTTACCGTCGTTAAGTTTAAGTTTATCATTTAGCATCCATGTTTTAATATCATCAATACAATTTTCCATGACAGTAACCGCAGACAGTTGTTCGGACATTGAATCTGGTTGAAATGAAACGTACAGTTGATTGTCATCGGCAAAAGCATGGGCATCAGGTAAGTGACTCTCCAAAATCTGGAATAATTTGGACACGTATAAAACAAACAAAAGTGGGCCAAGACACGATCCTTGAGGTACGCCATTTTTGAGTTCAAAACGCTTGGATGTACCACCATTTACAGAGATAAATTGCGAACGATTAGAAAGATAAGAGGTAAACCATTTCAGTACTTGATCTTGGATACCAAAATTGGATTTCAGTCGTTCGAGCATTATATTATGGTCGACAGTGTCGAATGCAGCGCTCAGATCTAAAATTACGAGTAAGGTAACATGCTGACGGTTCATGTTCATTAAAATATCATGCTTAACACGTAGTAAAGCCGTCTCCGTACTATGATGCTTGCGATAAGCCGATTGTGCCTTTGGATAAAGTTGGTATAAATTCAGGTAGTCGTTTGTCTGATTGAAAACAGCACGTTCTGTTAATTTAGATGTAAATGTCAGATTACTGATAGGGCGAAGATTCTCAAATATCGTTTCTGTTTTTGATTTTTTAAGCTGTGGCTGAACTAATGCTTGCTTCCATTCATCACAAAACACACCGGATTGCAATGATAGGTTGATCATCCTGGTAATCACAGGAAGAAGAATATCTTGACATTTTAAAACCAATGAAGTGGGCATTGGGTCCAGAGTACAAGATTTTTTAGTTGATTTAGATATCAAATCTTTAACATTTTCTTCATTTAAGATGGCAAAGGAATCAAATCGGGACATCAGCTCAGTAAATTCTGGGACAGACGAATGGTTTGTTTCAGGGGCAGAAGGATCAAACTCAGCATGGATGCGCTCAATCTTCTGGACAAAAAATTCCCCAATATCATTAGCCAGAACATCAGGGTCCCCATATTCAGGAAACAGAAGATCAGATCTTTGTGTAAAGAGAATTTTGATTAGTACTGTTTTGAGAAATAAAATTAGTATAGAACGCTTTCCGAGCACAATTCATGACAAATGTTGCCTGGTTTTTCTGCAGTTTATAATCAGCTAAGTCAGTATTCAACTTTGTCCTTCTCCATTTCTTTTCTGCTTTCCTCCTTTGCCGCTTAGCAGCCTTAACTTGCTCATCGAACCAAGGGACGATAGGTCTTTTTGTGACAGTCTTTGTTTTCAACGGTGCATACTGATCTAGGATTGAGTTCAATGTGTTATTGTAACAGTTTACAAGTTCGTGTAAATCAAATGATTCCGTGTTTTCGCAGAGGATAGAGTTGGACAAATCCTTCCGTAAGGCATCCAGACTTATGGCAGCGAGATTGCGATACGAAACTTTTGAGTTAATTCCAGGAACTTTGTCCAGTTGTAATTGACAAAAAAACTGGCATGTGATCAGAAAACAAACAGTCAGCTCTAGGAGATGAAGCGATGATTTGATCAGTTTGTCGGGTGACAATAAGATCAAGGGTATGACCACTAAAATGAGTAGGAGTATGTACATGTTGATCAAGTCCGACACTGTCAAATAGCTCAAGTAATTTAACAGCATCATGTTATCATCACAGTCGACATGAATGTTGAAGTCGCCAACAATTAAAACGGGGTCAGCGTTTAAAACAACTGACTCTAAGTATTCAGAAAACTCTGAATAAAACACAGAAGTGGTAACAGGATGGGTTTCAGAGTAAGGTGGTCTATAAATGATAATGACTGATATTCTCTGAGAGGCGAATTTAACTTTCCATTCAGAATACTCGAACGATTGTCGTTCGCCACCAGCAATTTTAGTAACTAAGATATTTTCTTTAAATAATAATCCAGTACCGCCTCCTCGGCGGTTGAGGCGAGGTTCGTCAAAAAACTTATAGCTTAAAGGAGTAGATAAGGTCTTAACAGCAGATTCTCTATTCGTAAACCATGTCTCGGTGACCGCGACGAGGTCAGGTGTATGCTCACATATAAAGTCAGTGAACTGAGCCGACTTATTTTTCAGAGACTGAGCATTTAAGAGACAAAATTTTACACCATTATTACTTAGCGAATCGTCTTGCGATGGTTCTTCTAGACTAACATGGGTGAGATTGTGCGGATTACTCCCAGAATTGGGATCAATAGTAGAATAATAATGGAAGGGATTATCATTATTACCTACTGAGTTATTGACTGATGTCAATAACTCAGTATGACAGGGCTTGTCCATGACCTCATCTAATAATAATATTGATAAAACTTCAGTTTGTCTCTTCGCTTCGTATGTATTCGAAAAACCTCTTCCGATTGCCGATTTCCATGTAAAGTTTCCACATCGTGACTTGCCAGACTGTTATATCGTTTATTACGTTTCTTAGATAGTTTCATATCCTTTATCTTTGAATGTTTCCTTTGAGTGATACGGGTTGGGATAGGTTGGCAGTCTTGGCGGTTATTAGCTTGTTGATTTGCGGTGTTTTGTTTTGGCGTTTGTCCGAAAACTAATTCACTGCTTTTTGCCCTGACCTGTTCGGAGGGACCCGATTTTTCTGATTGCGTTTTTAAAGTTGAATTAACTGTTTTCGCTGGCATGGAATGAGACAATTCTTCGTTCGATTGGTATGTTTCGGGAGCAACAGATTCGCCATTCGCCAGATTAGTAATAGTATTAATTTCACACCCTGATTCCGCTGCTTCATTACAGTGGGTTGATTTTAATATAACACTTTGTTGGTCTTCTGTTGGGGTTTTAAGTAATGAACAGTTTTCCTGCAGGGTTTTGTTTAAACTATTATCTGGATCAATACTAATTACATCTTCACACAGGTCGATGATCTCTGTTAAAGGTCGATCGCTATTACCAACCGGGCAATGGACATTGTAGTCATATAGTTTGTCTTGATTGGGTATTGTTTCCATAGCCGAGGAGGTTGTGTCATGTACAATAATTACATGACTGGAGGTGCTGTTAACGTTTACATTTTTTATTTCCTTGCTTTGTATTATTTCTGACGAGTTCTTGCTTGAGTGATTCAAAACATGTTCATCATGCATAACGGCTAATCCTTCTCTTGTTTGTTCAATACTTGTGTATTGTTCACTAATTTGTTGATTGTGTTTTCCTTGCTCACTTTGAATAGTTTCCAAATGATGAATTAATTGATTAATTACTAAGTCATGTTTAGAAATTTTTCGAAAATGATCTTGTTGTTCGCACTGCATAATAGCCAGTTCATGAGAGAATTTATCAATCAATTTCATGTTTTTGTTAATATTTTCGTGGTTTGAATGGATGTTTTTAGAAAGTTTAGACTTCGTAATAACAGCATCCAACTTAACTCCTTCGAGATCTGTAGAAAGTTCACAAACAGTTCGCAAATTACTGTTTGTATCTTTAGCAGAACTAAAATCTGTATTTAGCCCGAGGTCATGCATAATCGTGCCAGTGAGTAATGTTGAGTTTGATTTCATACATACCAACTCGAAGATTTTGTTCACAGTCTCATATAATCCATCAATTTTCTTTACAACAGCAGTCAGTTCTGTTGATAATCGGTCACAATTCGTGCATCTTTCATGATGATTCACCGTTTGAGAAGAACAATCTTTAAAGTAGCTTTCGACCTTGTCTTTATCACAAACTTCAATATTTGATGTGTTTAACTCAAGATCGCCGTTACTATGCACGTGCGTTAATAAAACGCCAGTTTCTAGCACGCCAGTTTCTAGCGTAGAAATCACCAATCGTTCCAGAATTTGGCCATCAACACCTTTAAATATCATAGAGTTGTTGTCAGCATACAATGTAAGCTTGATTTGATCATAAAGAAATACTTTAGCACTTCCCCCGGGCGAGTTCCAGACACCTCCAGCATCATATAATTCTGCCATAAAATGCTTCAAATTCTCAAAATCACCCAGCCACTTGATTCTGCCGTTGACATTACGTGTTAGATAGTCTTTAAACTTTGAAAAGACCATACAAAAGTGATTCTGACTGATATTATTTGTGGTTGTAGCAGCACACTCATGCATAGTCGCCATGGTTGATCATGACCCGAGTACTGTATAGGGACTACAAAGAACCTTGTACAATATATATATCAAGTTGATGACAAGTTGCGATATTAATCCCTACATTATCGGTTTAATTTATTTTAGTACGTAATATACTGTAGTTTGTGTGGAAAATAAACAACATATACGGGACTGTTGTATTTCTGTCTGCACGGCTGCATGCAAATGCATCAGGACGCCACGTATCGTATATATAGTATATGTGCGTGGAACGCATATTATAGGTTTGATTATATTTGGTTGAGAAGTGCTCATATAACAATACTGCCGAGAAGACACGTAAACGTCGTTATGGCCTTATCCAAAGCGGATACCTAACATTAATATTGTATTTTTATTTGTGATTTTTTCACCCTCGACTTTTCACCCTCAACTTTTAACCCTCGACTTTTAACCCTCGACTTTTAACCCTCGACTTTTTACTCTCGACTTTTTACCCTCGACTTTTAACCCCCGACTTTTAACCCTCCACTTTTTACCCTCACCCTCGACATTTAACCCTCGCCCTCGACATCTAACCCTCGACACCGCGCGGGCGGAGCGCGCTTTGAAAATCTGCTCAAGCGGGCGTGACGGGCTTCAAAAACAATGAACGGTTCGCCCGCGCGGGCAAAGCGAACGTTAATGGCAAACGGCCTCAATTATGTGAGATGACATACAACATTACATCTACCTTGCAGATAGTGTAATATGAAACCTAGTAAGCAAATAAGTTCCTTCGTCCTTCGATGATGAATATAATATATGTCTTGGTTCGCGGAAAACCCCATGCATATTTATTCTTTCAAATCGATGCATATAAACTCTGAGACTTTTTGTTTAGACAATCTAATATGTTGTTAGTATGGATGAAGACACCCGGGTTTTGAAAGTAGTCTGTGACTCATTGACTGTTTACCACAAGCCGAAACTAATCCATGCAGTAAACAAAATTGACGGCTTGACTTGTAATGATGGCATTGTTTAAGGACCAATTAAGGTGAAATTTTGTCTTGAAGTTTAGCCAATCGTTTCTTCATCTCTCCGTCAGATTTCGTTAATTCTGTGTTTTCTTAGCTTAGATTTTCAACTGCTAAAAGTGCACATTCGAGCAACGTTAATTCTGGCTGTATTGCATGTCATGCTATCCTCAACAATATCCGGCTTTGCTCATTATATTTTCACATATTCAAAATATTTGTAAACTTTTATATTATATTCATTGTTTTCCTCCTTTGTCTCATCCATGACTGATTTATGTTCTTTTGAACGGGTATATTGAACTTTTTAGACTGAATTTCTCAACGTTTACGCTGAGGTTTGCACAGACGTAACGCACTTGGCAAGCCATATTTCGCATTACAAAATTTCTTTGTCTAAGAGCCTGTATACTATAATAATCAACAAATTCAAAACCCTGAGTTAATTAAATAAAACTTACCGTCTTCAGTAAGTTACATGACTGTTGAATATTCCTTTTACTAGTGAATTTGGTTGATTTTGCAAGCCCCCAATATCACTTCAATATTTATATTCTCCGGATTATCATTACAAGGTAAAGTACAAAACATGGTCTGGACTCATGGACTGCTGAACTCATGTACTGAGTTTCAAATTTTGACTGAAATTTCAAAAAATGTAAAACTGAAAAAATTCGCAATTTGTTATTCATATATTATTGTCGTAACACTAAACAGTGAAGATACATGCGGAAAGAATTATATTTAATACAGCGAGGAGCGTCTTATTAGTCGCTTCCACTTGTCCGCTTTGACAATGTCGCAGATATTTCCGGACCGTCTTAAAACTCATCGAAAGGTTGTATTGTTTAGCAAACGATCACTAGTCGAACAAATCATGTCAAGAAGATTATACAGCGGATATGCACAGATATTTGAGAAAATCGTGCACTTTGTGAAGAAAGCACTAAATTCACAGGAAGTGTAGACTTTAACATCGGATAATGAATCTTAGATATGGAGGCATCACCAAAATTCATGCTGACGGCTTAAAATTTAGGATTTCTTATGTTCTCTTATTAATCTCTTATACAATTAAAAATTGTGAAATTGTAGGTTCACATATAGCAAAAATGACATGCATCATTAGAAAGCTTACAAAAAACTGCATACTAAGACATTTATAAGCAGTTACTTTGATTTTCCAACTCCTCTGGAGTTATGAGCGGTTGAAAATATGTTATAGGGCTAGTGTTCAGGACTTTGGCGGGAATTTTGCCTATTTATCACGTTCTTAAATAGCAATAACTGGAAAACCGCTTGGAAAATCAATCATCCGTTTAAAAGTCTTATATGTAGTTTTTTGTAAGCTTTCTAATCATGCAAGTCATTTTTATTATATGTGAACCTGCAATTTCGCAATTTTAAACAGTAATAGAGTTTAATAAGAGAACATAAGAAATCCTAAATTTTAAGCCGTCAGCGTCAATTTTGGTGATGCCTCCATATCTAAGATTCATTATCATGTTAAAATCTACACTTCCTGTGAATTGGGTGCTTTCTTCACAAAGTGCATGATTTTTTACTTTTCCGCTGGACTATATGAGGACTGGACTAGATTTCAAGTCCGCGCAATTGGATCAATCGAGTCCAGTCCGAATTGGAGAATTTGAAATGACATCTCGTACTACGAATAAATCACTATACTCAAAGTGAGATGAATTAATATTGATCCAGTCCAATAAATGAATTAGTTTCGATCCAGACGAAGGATTCTAAGGATTGGATCAACCTACTTCGCCAGGTATCCAATATTATCATGTGAGAAAAATAAAGTAATATGGTTGGCTATATTAATTTACTCATGATCATTATTAATGAGTTTGAGATTTTTGAGTCCACGAGTCCATGAGTCCACAAGTCCAGTCCATGTTTTTGCCTAATATAACTATACAATTAGCCTCGTGACTTCCGCGTGATTTAAGTGCTGCGCGTAACCTAACCCAGTTGGGCCTGTTCGCAGGCTAATGTTGATGAAAATTTCGCGTGTAAATTTTAAGTCCCATTTCCACTGTTCACACAAAGCCACCAAGCGCTTCGCGTTCATCTTGCTCCGTTTACAAACCGTACTCAAATTGTTACAACAAAGGGGACGTTTTCAAGCATTTTCTTTCTGCCGTGATGCGATAGGAATCATGCGTGTAAACCTGTACTGTAGTATTTCAGTTATCAGTCACGCAGAAATATATTTTTGACGGAGAAATGTAGCTAAATGTTCTGTGAAGTGCGCATATTTTTCTTCGAGTTAGAGCGGGCAACGAATAAGTGGTGTGCAAGTTAGCCCGTCGCCATGTTGGATGACATTGACAAAGGATTTTGCTTGTTTGCAATGCAAATATCATCCAACATGGCGAAAATCGCTTTGTCCTTCGAATCTCATGGGAGTGGCTGCACATCACCTAAACTTTCTACTTGCAGATCGCAAGCACATATCAAGTGACAGTATATAAACATCATGACATAAATTACAAGAAGTGACAAGACATATCAGCCTAGCTCAATTTGTACCAATACAATTTGGGACACCCTATACAAAAGGGGGGGGTTTTGGGGGTTTTTTGGGACACCCTATACAAAAGATTGACTTCAATGAACATTTTTCTATTGTCTCCAGATTAAGTTAGCTGCCAAACAATAGTGCATGATTACAAACAGTGCTAATATACATACTTTGTTTTGTTCTACATGCAACTCCGTGATTATCGTCTCGAGCATATACAGGGTGTCCCAAAAAACCCGAAAACTATTGAAATCACTTATTGTTAAAATTGAATGCCCTACCAAAAAGCTGGACGTAATGATCTGTAAAACACCAAAACAAATAGATTTTATGGGAATAGGACGTCAACTCCCTATATTCAAGGTACGTGAGTTCAATATAATGCTTCATTCAAACGTCGCTGGAATTAGGTCTCGGCGCTAAAATTTCATTACCGTCCGAATCAGCCGAAATCACAGATTTGGGCATTCATTTGTGAGTAGCAAACAGCATTTGTAGAGATTTCTCGCTGATCGATGTTACTCTGAGAATGTCTTCCGCTACCTTTAGCTTGCTGGCCAACGATCCACCGTAAAACTACAAATTTCTGACTGCCAGCTAGCCTACAATCTTTGGTCAGACATACTATAAAGAGTTTAAATTTGATGCACATAGACGGCAAAAGCAAACTCGTTCACTGAATATGTGACTGTATAAAGCAAACTGACTTGCCTCGGATTATTACTCGTATGAATTTAATACATTTTGAGAAGGTTAAGACAGGGCTTTCGAATATTCATAGTCTGAAACCCGAATCAACCAAGGATGAGAGTGTATGAGAGTTGGCAGTCACCCAAATCTTGGTTAGCTGTTCTTAATGCTTTCGAAACACTATCATGTATTTTATTCAAGTTCAGTAAAACGTCGCTTGGAACGCTTGGAACAGCTTAAAATGGCCCCTGTCACAGTTCGTGTCTGCAAAATGTCATCGACTCTCATTCTCGTTTGACTGGGGTTTAGTTCGGATTTTTGTGCTAATCTTATGCATCTGTCATAGAGTTGCACCTACCAGTTTATACTATTTAATGCAGCAAGCACTCCAAATACAATGTTTTACTCTTTTAAGTGTTCATTCAAGATTTCTGTATCTTTATGATAAATTACCTAAACAGTCAATCATACTAAAAATATTGTTCGAATCTCACTATCGCCTGTATTCTAAAAGCTCACTCACACTCAATGAGTGGAGGTTAAATCTGAGCTTCTCTTGAGTGTCAATGCTGTTTTTGAATAGCTGGATGGTGAGTAGTCACATAGTAAGGTACGACACTAACCATCCAGCTATTCAAAAACAGCATTGACACTCGAGAGAAGCTCAGATATCGATTGAACTTCCACTCATTGAGTGTGAGTGTAAGTGAGCTTTTAGAATACGGGCGTATATCTTCTTTCATTGAATTTGGAACCAACATGGCCGCATTTAAGTTCAGCAGGCAACCTGCAACCACTGTAAAAAAGAATAGATACTTTAGTAACATGTACGAAAATTGGCTTCAACGTTAATTGTATGGCCGCTTAAGATGTTATATCGATGAAAAATTTAAATGAAATTAATTTTAGTCCTTCTAATCTAAATCCTGCATCACGAAGAACCAATATTCATTATAATTATTGATCTTGTGTTTGGTATCAAATATATGCAATTTAAAGAAATGTACTTGCTTCCACAAGGCATAAAGCGGCAATATGTGTGAAGTTGACCACGAAGCATTTTCCTATATTGTATAAGTTTTGAGTGAAACCCTACCCACCTATTAAACTTTTTCACATTGCTAAACCTGAATCATTTTGGTTTGACCATATTTACCACATCATGTACACCAGGATCACAGAGACCTTGGGTGTGAACTATGAATATAGGAGCCACAATGTGAGAGGAAGGCAGAAACCAGACTGGTCACATGTTTGATGGGGACCTATTTATGCCAGTTATGAGTTCAGGGTCTCTCTAGAGAAGTACTGACAAACTTACCACGGTTTCTGTTGCTCTAAAAATGTGTCGTTATACTTACGACACTACGATCACATGGAAAATATTGTCCTGATCCACGCAATATCTCTTGGCAGTCCTTCAAATCATGATAAGCTTAATGACCCGTTTGCATGATACATCCCATAATATCTCCCGCAAAAAAAACCAACATGGCAACGACTGTTATATTATTACAATCCGGCATTATCTATTATTCATTCTTAAAGAAATTGTACAACAATAACTATTTTAATATACAAACAATATAATTATACTAGATCTAATTCAAAGTATCTAAAGGTAAATAATTGTTCAGTTTTCTTTGTTCTCCAACACGCTAGTTTTGGTAATTCACTGGCAGACAACGTACCAGCACGACCTAATTACAAGCGCTATGTTCCACATTTTAACCACATGACCAATACCGTTCACTGACCGACCACATGATCATGCAATACCGTTCATTGCTTTGTATGAAAGAAGACCAAATCCTTAGTCTCATCACTCTCATGATCACCAAGTAAGACCGAACAAGTCCAGAACATTGTAAGTAAGACCACACAAAGTCTAGAATAATTAAAGCTTTTCTTTGTAAGGTAATTCACCGAGCTTAATACAAGATTCAACTGGTTCTTTGGATGTTCTCAATTTTGTTTTTCGATAAGAAAGTTCCTTCAAATATCCTTGCACATTTTCAACATAATTTCCAAATTTAGTTTCTAGTAGTTGGACCACCGACCATTTGTCCATTTCATTACTTATACCATTCGCCAACTCCGTATTGTTTTTAATCCTTCCATAAAAATCACTTCATTTTAATAATAAATATACTGTGCATTGCTTGTGTTCAAAAAACACGGATGTATTGTCAGTGTATACTAACTACCATAGCTTGTTGAAAGTTAACATTACCATCCCTCATAGATGCGGTACATTGCGATCAGGATTATAATCATAAAATCCACATGAATATATCTTCAACAAATACTGATATCACGCATTATATGCTATACACATCATAAGTGGTACGTACATCCGAGCTTGGAATACAACGACGGTTTGTAAAACGCGTATACTTTCATGAGAACACTCTACAATTTTTGTCTACGCAAACGACTCACGGTCTTTCGAGATGGTGTTGACATTACTTTCAGCTTTCCAATACAATGTTTTCAAGTTATGCTTATATTGTTTGTCTTTCACAAATCATCGATTTTTCCAAATATACCAACTGAAACTAGCTTGTCGCAAATTGCTTTGCCATTATTCCCGTATATCAGTCACATTGTGATCAGGAGTTTGAAATCCTTTAGTTTTTTGGTCATTCAACCGTTGTATAATAATGGCACGATACAGGAACTGTTCCTAAAGGCGTAGAGTTTCAACGATATAAACACTACACGATTTTTGTTATACAACTCACGATCTTTCGACGTGCTCGTTAATTTTCTTTTGATTTTACAGTACAATGCATGTATTCAAATAACCATGTTCATTGATGGTATATCACGATAATTATCGATATTTCAACATAATCGAACTGCAACTAGCTTGTGGAAGACCCCATTACCATTATTCCCTTATCTAAGTTACATTATGATCAGAAACGTTCAGATCCAGCTGAATCACCAACAAATATATGCCATACATTATCATTAGTGATGAAATGGTAACATATACAGCAACTGTTCGTTAAATCCGACGTGTATACTTTCAACTATGACAACATTACAGCCTTTGTTCAAGTAAATCACTCACAGTCTTTCGAGATGGTCAAAATATTTCTTGTGGTTTTACAGTACAATGTTTTTAAGTCAAATCCGTATGTGTATCCAAGTCTTTAAAGCTTCATCAAAACTTCTCAATAGACTTTTGCCCAAACTGGCAAAGCCAAGTTATTACAATATTTTTCACTAAATTCCAATAAGCCAGTTTGGCGTAACTATACTGCATATCCAACTGAGTCGGGTTAAAATGTCTCTTCCAATATATTAAAACTAAAACATGTTTTTCACTTTAACCGTATATCGTGCCGAAACGTAGCTGTATATTTTTGTTATTCTGAATAACAAATGACTTCAACAGAAAAGAAAATGCTCTACAGTACGTGACGATATGGTGAAGTAAAAAACAGGCTTAGGCTTTAATGAGAAAGCTGTGGAGTAAGTGGGATACAAAAGGATACAACATTGAAGTTCTGCTTGTATTTTTCAGGTAGTTGTATATCCCTCTCAATCCACAGTTGTCTTGTTATCGTCGCTACCTTCACTGACACAGACCTTTCCAGATTAAGTTTTGATGTTTTAATTATGGAAATAGCTTTTTTAGAAAAAGAAGAAGTTTTTAGACGATTGACTTGCTTCATGTTACAAAAAATATTCCTGAAAGTACACTTTCATTTTTTGGCCTTAGACTGAGAAAGGTCATTAAAGTTTATTAGGAAATGCATTAAATTGACAGTTTTATTTTTTCTTTTATGTCGAACATTAGTCGCTGAATATTTAAAAATATAAATACGTCCAGTCTCAGCTAGATTTTATGTGATTCAGTTGTATTTTCTCCCAACTCAGAACACGTCATTTGGATACACAGTCAAAATGTCGAACTGGCTTAGTGGATTCCACTAAATTGCATGTTTTTTACTTTTCATGATGTACTGATAAACAGAAAATCATCATTAATATTATCAAAATTGGGGCTCTCTCTTCATCTTTTTTGTTTTATTTATTTACTTTATTTTTACTAATTTACCCAAATATACTTTATAAACAACTGTATAGCATAATTCTTTACAACTTACAGTCGCTTGACTCGACTGTTTTCTAATGCGGCAAGAATATTATTTTATTTAATATGAATGAAGAAAGTCCTTTTTGAATGTTGCTTTGTTTCAAGATTTACAACGCCATAATTTTTTATATTGTGTAAGAGGATTATTCGAGCATAATAGACCTCTTACCCTGTTTACGTTTCTCGCAAACTAAATTGATTCAAAACAACCCACGAATGAGAGCTTTTTCATTGTGAAATGTAAATTTTATACATTAACTAAAACATGCCTATTTACTTTTTATTGGCAGATACATGCCCTTTGCTGAAAATCGTTAATTTTTGAAAGCGCAAAAAACATTAATCAGGAATGAAATAAACTTTAACACTTCAAAACCGCACGTGATAGTTCATGATGAATGTGCTGCATGAATCTTGTTTTCTGGGTACAAAAACGTTTTTTGTTTTCTTTCTTTTGATTAGAAATCTCGTGCTAGCAAATTTTCTTTGATTCTAAAGATCTAAGTTCGACCCAATCGATTCACGGAAAACACTGATCTATACAATCGGAACCTGTCCGCAAAGAAATGTAAACAAGATAAGGAATCGATTACGTAGATTATCACTGTATAGTCTATAGGTTGCTTCGTTCTCCTAAAAACCCACAAACTTTAATCTTGATCAAACTTTGGTAATTCATAGAGGAACGAAGCTGTCCTGTACAATATATGAAGTAAGAGCCCCAATTACAATAGCACCAAGTAGCATTGATAAAGATTTTTTAAGATGCTGAAGACAACAAAAAACAAACTTTTATCCACCGCTAAGGGCATTTCACATCGTGCTAAATATCTGAAAGCCCGTTGTTTATGTGCATACCATATGCCGCATTGAATGTAAAAATTTATTAATGTGGATTTGAAAACACTGATATTTTAAACTTTCTTTGATAATTTGTTAAATATGTACTTTTTGAAGAAACACAACTTCGGATCAAAGACTTTCATCACGAGTTTTTGGTGAAAAGATCTAAAGCCTGGTGTGAATGAAGGCGAAAGAATACAGTTGACAGGATACAATATAGAGCGTGGGCGATTAATTAATGCAACTGATGCAGTTGTTAGCGTAAGAGGATAACATAGTACTGTTTCGCGAGTGGCTTTGAGATATTGTTTGCATTATTAACAATAGCAGTCAGCCATGATTCCAAATTTTTCTAACGCTCTTGTTTTCTTTGTCAATAATTTGTCTGGCGTCAAAGTTGTTCTTACTGTATGTGAGCAGTTCCATGCATGTTTGCTTGCGGATACGTTTGAGTTTTTGCATTTCGAATGCGTTTTTCTTTCTTGTTTCAAATGACCTTCGTGTTTTACCAATATAATTCTTTGAGCAATCTCCACAAGGGATTTTGTGAAACTTTAGAACCGTGGATCACCGCTGTTGCTAGTAGTGCCGACAATAACTCAAAGCCGCTGTAAGGTCCTGTAATACTCGGCTTAGGCTTAGAAAACAAAACGCTAATAACTGCATTATTAATGGCCAGCATTAAAATATAACACCGCCGTCTTCTCAAATGCTGATGCATTTTAGTCCAGCAAACAAAAAAATTCAGATGATATTTGCGTTCAATGAATATGGAATTGTTAAATAATTGGACAAAACTGTATATTAAAAAACCGAATTAAAAGAGGATGATATAGTGCATGCATGAGAGTTTATAGCAATCACGCCACCTTGGTTTAATATCTGTTCCTTATATGCTTTCCCAACACTATCCTGTATTCAATCTTAGATAAAACATAGTTGAAAAACTCATCAAACATACATTTATCAATCTAGAGCTTCAAATGTCATCTGTAACAATGCGTGACTGCTAACTCTCATCATCGTTTGATCGGGTCTTAAATGTTTTGAAGGGAAAATACGTGCAACAATCTACATTTTGCAATAGACGCATGTAAAACATTTCATATGTAAAACGATATAATAAAACGATTCTTGAACAGAGGAAGTATCAACGTGTAGAAAACATTAAAGAATTGTAATTAATTTTATATTCAATGTGTCGTTCTGACAGAAAAATATGCGAGGAAAATGCGATATGTAAAATTGTTTCCAAACTCAGATTCCAAAGTTGCTTTCTTCAAAATTTTATTTTTTGGGTTAGATTTTGGGTCCTTTACCGTTCTAAAATTTTATCATAATAGTGTTGAAATTATGCTAAAAAATACATACCGATACCATTGCAAGTAAAACAATGCAGAGAAGTTATTTCCAAAAAGTTCCAATCACTTTGTTTTTCTAGCTGAAACCTTCACAAGCGTTTTCAAGATTATTAGTAATGGTCATTGAACTGAGTGGAGTGCAATTTGGTCTGACCAATCACATTGCTAGAACTGCCATTGGTTTCAAAATGACAATAGGAGAGCTAAAAAGAACAACAAAACAAACTTTAAACAATTTACCATCTTTGTATTATTTGTAGTTCTTGCATATCAACTATACATTTACCGTATATGCATGAATTATATGATTGAACACTTGGAACGCGATGTCGGGCTGGGTAGGTCATTTATATTTTCAGCGTGTATACAGCAAGAACATTCCAATAATTCATTCTCATCTTTACGTTGCTGTGGTAACCAAAGTTTAATTCTTTTAAATTTTCCGTACTCGGAGCTGTAAACAATAATACCAACTGTATTGCGGCATGTAAAAATACGCCACGGATTGTAACTCAAGCCCAAACTGATGCAAGTTAATATGTCACAGGTTTTGACATTAATTAAACCCAAGCAATCATTATATCCCACAGAAAGAAGGTGTTCCTCGTCAACAAATTCCAGTTGCAATTGGTTACTGTAAACGAAATAGAGAAACATTTTGCCACGAATGTTTAGTGTAGCAATGTCTACGATATACAACCCTTTCCGGGACGAACATAATGCCAGCGACTGTCCATTAGGAGAGAAACAAGCAGCAGTTATGTACGCTGAAAATTTCCGCAAGTCATTGTTAAATACATTTGAATTTAAATCTACACTGTTTGCATATTGTAATAAACATGTAGATTTGTCAATTTTCATCAGCACATGATATAGACTACTGCATGCAATCACCTCGATTTTCTCATCTTTGTGTTCACGAAATGAGACTAAAATGTGTTCAGGAAATGGTGTACGTGCAACTATTGCTTTTTTCAGAACATTAAAAAAACAAACATGCGTCTCCATAATACAAGCTATTAAATCTTGTGAGACTGAAACACAAAAACAAGTACCAGTCAGTTCAGGAAAACTGGCGAGACGTTGCGTCACTCCATTATTCCACAGCTCAGGGATGCCTTCACAAAACTTATCTTCACCTGTAGATGATTTCCGTATCTCTCCGCGAACGAACACACCATTTGTTACTGGAAAAAGCGATGTACATGCTGTAATAGTACCAGTCATCTTGAATCTCACCTTCTCAAACCATATAGCCGCGCATTTTACTGACCGAGGTCGACTGAGTTTCACGATTGAACGATAGCATTTTAGCAAGTTACATGCGTAAATATATCTTCCGTTCACTGAAACAGAAAAATGTTTCACAACCCCAAAAGAGGAAATAAATTTAATTCCTTGTTTTTTCTTGTTTGAATTCTGGGTCAACTCAGTTAGCCTACACAATTTTATTTCCGTTACAATTTTTTTACGCACCAAAACGCTTTCATTACTGAGCATAAAAAAAGCATCCCCGCTGCCTAATAGTTTGTGGAAGCGCGTGGAGTCGTCATCACTTTCCATTACCGCTTGGAATTTAGCGGCAGCCCTCGCGTTAGCAGGGCGTACTCCAATAAAACCTTCCGCAACAAGTTTAATTGTTAGATCATATTTCACAATTCCGATTATTTGGTTTGCCATCTTTAGGCTCGTGACAAACCACGAATCTGCATAAAACGTTGAAACTAAAACAGCATAGTTTCTAGCACAAGACCTTGATATCATGCTGTAACTATTCTCAGTATCGTAAACACATAACTCGTTAATGTTCGTTGTTCCAAGAAATCTGTCATTAGCCGAGAACAAAACGGAAAATAATTCTGACCGACACGAAAGACTGATAATTTTCTTATTTTTAAGTACATTCCAAATTGTCAAATGAATGCCGTAATTTGTTACCATTTTCGTATTATCGTGCGAAAAACAGCAACTTGTAAACTTATTGAGTATTTCTTCGCACACAATCCGCCCAGATTCAAATTTCCCTTCTAAATTAAGTACAGGGGTAAGCTGCCCGGCAAAAACGACGTTTTCAAGAGGGTGAAAAACAATGCAGCGCTGTAGTACACCAAAAAGACGTTGCACATAGCTAGCGGCATGCCTTTCTACTACAAAATCGTCAATTTTCCAAAGCGGTTTAAAATCGGGAAGAGAAAACAACTCAACTCCTCCTCATATGAGAAAATCTTCTGACGGTGAAATATCAATATCTGAAGCATGGCTTCTAATTAAAATACGACCTATCATAGCCTTTTCAGTATTTTCCATTTCGTCTTCCGAATCGAAATATGCAAGCCCCCTGTAGCGTGTCATTAACAAGGCAGATGCTTTGGATGAAAGTACGTCATCATTTTCATTGACAACATGCTGCAAAAATGACTGTGGAGCGTCTTTTAAAATGTATGTAAACTTTCTTATTATAGAGATAAGCGTCCTTATGGTAGTTTGCGTTTCCTCACATGTTGAGCTGTTGTGCATATTGTAGCTTTCTAGGCTAGAAAGATTGCTTAATGTTGTGTAAATATCACGACAAACACTCACGTAAACGATTTCTAAGTCAGTAACGTGGTTTATCAATTTCGTCAGGGAATGCATGTCTTTTATTTCCGCCTTTAATATATGTTGTATTCCTTACTGCAATGTATAGACAATAGCATGGTCAAATGTTAAGTTAACTTCGTTTTGCTTCAATGTTTGCATTTGTAAAACGCAAATATCAGCGAGTGTTCTATGGCCATCTGTCTCTATAATTGTAAAATCATGATTTGGTTTTACTAGCCAATCTTTTACTGATTTGTGAAAAAATGACACGGATTCATCCTTGATGACAAGAAGTGAAGAGAGGCAATTAATCAATTTCCGCAACGTTCTGCCTGCAATCGACAAATTTTTGTCAGAGCTAAGTAATCTTTCAAGAAGTGCTAATGGAAGCGGTCGTTTTGAAACAGTTATTACGCTTAAAAATTTTAAAAATTCTTTTTCATCAATGCCTAGATTTTTAAGTTCGCTTTCAAGGCGACTGAAATACCTATCGTAAATCTCTTCAATACTTCCAGGTAAGTCTTCAGTGTTAGGTATCGCGGAGCCGTTTTCAGAGAGTTTACAAAGAAAAGATGCATAGAGCATCAGACCTTCAGATTTTTGAACTAATTTTTTGACAAGCTCCTCCCTTGGAACATCTTTTGATATTTTCCTCAATTTATCCTCAAAAAAAATTTGAAGATCCTTTAAATTCCGTTCATCATCTGGCCCTAAAAACAATGGGTTTAATTCCTGGAATTTACGGGCAATATCTGTTTCTTGTCGGGTTGTGATTAGAAATCGAATAAATCTCGGAAATTTATGAAAATGTTTAGTTATCAAATCAACAAGCTTCTGCTTTTCTTCCTGCCGACATTCATCTAGCGCATCTATTACGACTAGAAAATGCTTACCTAGATCGGGAATACTTGAAAATGGCTCTTCAAACAACATTGAGAACACCCCTTCGATGTTCTGGTCGTCCAACAACTGTGCTTTATTACCAGGTAAGTTGTTGGTTAGGTTTTTCTCGTATTCGGGAATGACATGACATAGCTGCGTTGCCAACGACTGGAGGAGAAACTTTGGATCATTGTACCTGCTATTGTTATATTGAAAAAAATGGCAAGCTCCAAAATGTTCCGGGAAACGTTTACATGTAACTGCGGCGATAGTAGACTTACCCATTCCAGCTTGACCAGAAATAATGAAGGCACGATTATTAGACGATTTGTCGTATAGCCATTTTGATACCTGATCAAAAACCCACTCACGAGTGCCTTCCGTGTAGTTTTCATAAAACGATTGTATTTCGTCTTTAAAGTCATGTTCCTGAAGGCAGTCACTAAGAATATCGTCTGACAAGGGTTTAACTTGTTTCAAAGATTCTATATTTTTTGATAATTTTTGAAATCCGGCACCAAATTTTGACATATTCTTTTCCATTCGGTCTAGTTTTATCATTACTTCCTTCTCACTTTCATTCCATTCTTGTCTCACACGATTTACTTCCTCCTCTCCGCATTCCTCAGCCTTCAATCTGTCAATTTCGGCTTGATTTAAACCCAAACTACGTAAAGCCGAACCAACCTCTACCCAATGAGCCTCAAAATCTAACCTGCTAACATCTGTGCCAGGGACATGACCAAAGAAATTATTTCGAAATAGCCTAATACGAACAATGTTCGCTTCACGAGAATTGTCAGTGGAACCTGGCATAACATTCCACCCTGTACTAGGAGGAGATAATCCACAGATATTTCTTAACAGGATAACAAGTAATGTTATATCAAATTCCTGAATATTTGGAATTCTAGGGTGAGGTGGGTACAGTTTATCCCATTGTGGTTGCGTGATTATTTTCTTTGTCTTAAACAGTGGATAAAGTGTAGGATAATGAGCAGACAAAACAGCATGCAAATTACCTGGATGTATGCTCAAAAAGACGTTTCTCAATACCTCTGTTCCTCCATCAACTATCAACCTCATCAACTTAAAGCCGTAGATCTTTTCTTCGGAACTCTCAAGGACTGACGATGTCATGATTGCGGTACCTATAATTATTTAAAAAGGAACAAATTGTAGACAAAAGCCAGAATGTAAAAAAGAGGAGATTTTTCTGTTCGTTTATAATTTATGTATCATCGCACAGCAGAATTGCGCATGGCTAGGAATCTCATACAACATGGCTACGAGCATGCGTAGAACACGCATTGCGGCGCTAAATGTGGCCGCGAAATAAGTTTTATTACAAATTTGAAATTTCTAGCTGCCTTTCTTTGACATTCGAATTAAGTGTCAAATGGATAAAACACTGTTTGAACAATATTTATAGGAAACAAAATTTGAAAGTAAGATCATTCTAGACGGTGCCTTTTTGTATTTTTATTGAGATGATTATCACAGTACTATTCGTCTACAGTGAGTCTATTGATACAATTAGATAATTGTAGATAGAGCTGCTAATGAATTCAAGTTAATTCGCTCTCTTTGGAGGTTTATCTCGAATTCGCCGATAAAATGTTTTTGAACTTTAGTAATTTTCATGTCCGCATGTCTGAATGTTCCCTATCCGCATGTCCGTCTCCACATATCCGCGTTTACCACATAATCCTACAAATATATTGTGCCAACCTCTGCTGTATATATATTCACACAAAGCCGCAATGCGCTACAATTTCATTTCGCTCCGTTTACAAACCGTAGTCCGTTTTAATTCAAACCGCACCGGCGTTGCGTATTTGAATATGTGAGATAACATCATACTTATACCTTGCCCATATACTGGGTGAGGCGAAAAAAGTACGATAGTTTGATTCACTATGACTCAAAGAGTAAAAGAGCTATTAGTATTAACTGACTTAAATAATTCACCGTAATTAAATTCCACGATGTTTAACTTAAATTTTAATATATGTCTTGTACTTTATCATGTTGACTGAGATAACAGTCTGTGCTTAAACTTAAGCAAACACTTTTGGAACCGCCAAGAATTAGCGCGGGAAAGGCCTTATTAAAACCAATTGAATAACCGTTACCATTTTCTAGCGATTATTGTTTCAATTAGTGGGTTGGTTTGACGAGGTTATCCAGGCAATGTTTTGGGTCCACACTTTGTTGAAAGAAATCTCGACACGAGAGAATATCTCCGAATCATACGCCGACAACGTTGTACAGTCAGAGACTTTCGTGTTCACAATATCGATAGGGATGACATGTGGTAGCAACAAATGAACAGAATGCAACTGATCCAATTAAAATTATTTCGATTGTATGATTTCAGGGGAAAGACGTTGCATTCGTGCTGGGGACACGCATTTGCTGATGAATAGACGACTGTTTTTGAACCATAAGCGTGAAGTTGTCAACTTGCTAACTATAGATATAATGCATCTCAACACAAGTCCTTGTTGTATTAATATTTAATAACCCATTTATTAGCTAATTTCAAAAATGTTTACTCCTGCTTAAATGCATGTATCTTTGACAATGTGGCATCGAAATGGGCATGCCATATATCAAAATTTAAGTTGGATATCGCCGAATGCCATTAAACTTGTTTTAGTGTCATTGCTCTTTTAGTTTTGATTTTGCAGCATCTCAAACAGTCGTACTTTTTTTTGCCCCACCCGGTATGTAATATGAAATCTAGTACTAGTAAGCAAATAAGTTGCCCCACGCGTATTTATCATTTCAAATCGATCCATAAGTCTGAGTCTTTTATATTTAGACAATTCAGTATATTATCAGCATTGATGAAGATACCAGGATTTTGAAAGTAGCCTTTGACTGATTGATTGTTTGCCACAATTACCGAACTACTAGTTCAGTAAACAGAACCTTGTCTGGTGATGATGGTGTTGTTTAATAACTGAAGGTGAAATTTTGATCTTGAAGTTTAGCCAATCGTTTCTTCATCTTTCCGTCAGATTTCTTTAATTCTGTGTTTTCTTAGCTCAGATTTTCAACCGCTAAGATTGCGCATTCGAGCATTATTAATTCTGGCTGTATTGGCCATGCTATCCTCAACAGTATCCGGCTTTGCTCATTATATTTTCATCTATTCAAAATATTTGTAAACTTTTATCATTATATTCATTGTTTTCCTCTTTTGTCTCATCTATGACTGATTTATGTTTTTTTGAACGGCTATATTGAACTTTTTAGAGTGAATTTCTCAACGTTTGTGCCGAGTTTTGCACATATACGCCGCGCACTTGGCAAGCCATATTTCAATGCAAAATTTCCTTGTCTAAGAGACTATGACTAAGTATACTATAAATCTATAAGAATCAGTAAATTCTTATACCCTGAGAGAATTATAAATGAAACTTACCGTCTTCAGTAAGTTACATAACTGTTGTATATTCCTTTTACTACTGAATTTGGTTGATTTTGCTGCAGGCCTCCAATATCGATATCACTTCAATATACTGCCAATATTATTCGGATTATCATTATAAGGCATACTACAAAACATGGACTGCACTCATGGACTAAAAATTCAAATTTCGACCGAAATTTCGAAAAATAAAAACTTGTACTTGATTGAAAAAATTTTTTGCAATTTGTTATCCATATTGTCGTAACACTAAACAGTGAAGATATACATTCGGAAAGAATTATATTTAATACAGCGAGGAGCGTCTTATTAGTCGCTTCTACAGATATTTCTGTCCTAAAACTCGTCGAAAAGTTGCATTGTTTAGCAAACCGGATGTAACAAATGTCTAACAAATCATGTGAAGAAGATTATACAGTAAACTTGTTGCTGGTTCACACGTAAAAACGCACAAGTTGTTACAAGTCTGCAAACAAGTCGTTACAAACTGTTCACAAGCTGCCAACAAGTTGTCTTCACACTGCTTGTTCCCAGTTGTTGTAACAAGTTTGGAACAAGCTGTTGACAACTTCTAACAAGCCTGATGGCATTATCAGACTTGTTACAAGGTTGTTCTAACAAGTCTAATACAGTCATGATATAGCAAGAATGTCGCAAGGTTGGCGACACAAGATTGTAACAATATTGTTTTATCATGACTGTATCGGACTTGTTGGAACATCCTTGCAACAACTCCAAGAAGTACGATAATATCAACAAAGTTGTTACAGGTTGTTAACAGCTTGTTCCAAACTTGTTGGTAACTTGGGACAAGCAGTGCGAATACAACTTGTTGACGGCTTGTTGGGAGACTAGCTACAAAGCTTGCGTGTGTAAGGATTGAATCCGTGGCGACGAACAACATTCAAAGATTCAGGATATCGGCCGGTCAATTGATTTGAGAAGTGTCAGACGGATGACGAAAAATATATGAATAACGTTACTTGAGAATTTTTATATTTCAATCAAGTCCAGTGTTGCGTTTTTGAATTTTGAGTCCACGAGTCCATGAGCCCAGAAGTCCAGTTCATGTCTTTGCCTAATATAACTACAAGTAGCCTCGTGACTTCCGCTTAACCTAACCCATTACAGACCTTACGATTTTAGGACGGCAACGCGACGGGGACGGCCAAAACAAACTCCTTCAAATAAATGGTAGTAAAGATAATTCGTCGTATATTATCAATCGTATGAATTTAATACAGTGTTAGAAGTTGAAGACATGGGTTTTATGGTTGGGAAGAGTTCTGCTAAACTCAGTTTGAACTGAGTTGCACTTGTTGTGGCTTGGAATGCAGCCGTTGTATCAAGGCGTGAAAATCTGTGATTTGGCGTTGTGAACAGAGCGAGGACAATGTCTGAATTATTCATTTACTGTAATTACTCAATTCTTTTCAATAATCTATTGTATTGGTAGCCGTCGCCGTCGCGTTGCCGTCCTAAAATCGTAAGGTCTCTAATACGGCCTGTTCGCAGGCTGATGTCGATGGAAATTTTGCGTGTAAAGGCCGTTTTCCACTAGGCGGAGTTTTCAGCGCGAAGCGAAATTTTTCTTTGTCTTGTGATTACTAATTAGAAAAGCTGAACAGATCGCACCCTCTTTAACTTTACTCTACAACAAGTCACTCGAGACAGGCGTATTTCCAGACGAGTGGAAACTGGCAAATATTGTGCCAATACACAAGAAAGATAACAAAGATCATGTTGAGAACTATCGTCCAATATCCCTGCTAAGTATTATCTCGAAAATTCTAGAACGGTGTGTTCTGATTCGTTTGCGTGACCATCTATTACTGATGTTAGACCGTGCGCAACATGGATTCATTCCTGGAAAATCCTGCGTGACTCAACTGGTTGAAGTTATCGACTACATTGGCTTCTTACTAGACTCTGGCAAGCAGACTGATGTGATTTATCTAGATATGTCGAAAGCCTTTGATAAAGTGCAACACTCTCGTATCCTTGATAAACTACGCCAGTACAACATCTCTGGTAACCTGTTGAACTGGTTTACATCCTACCTTCGTGGGCGAAGACAACGTGTTACGGTACTTGGTGCGACATCAAAAGAACGCAAAGTAACATCTGGTGTTCCTCAAGGTTCCATCCTTGGACCAATGCTCTTTCTTTTATATGTGAACGATCTGCCCAAGACTGTGAATACATCAAAAGTCGCTTGTTTCGCTGATGATACGAAGATTCTGAAGCAAGTGGACAACCTGCAAGATACTGCTGGTCTTCAAAACGACATTATCAGTCTTAACGGTTGGGCCACAGATAACGGTTTGACATTCAACCAAACGAAGTGTAAGTGCCAGCGCATCACACGGAAGAAAACACCAGTTGAGTATCCCTACGCCCTGAATGGATCAGTACTTGCCGCTGCTAATCAAGAGAAAGATCTCGGTGTATGGGTGTCGAATGAGTTGTGCTGGTTAAGAAACAAGTTGTCGAACAGACTTCAAAAGCGAACAAACTTCTGGGATTTGTCAGGAGATCTTCCCGGGAGATACGAAGCCAAAGAAAAAGAAGATGTCTGTTCCTCTCTGTTGTACGACCACACCTTGGCTACGCCACCCAGATTTGGGCCCCTCAGACCATCGAGCTTATCAAGCGCGTCGAAAGAGTGCAGCGTCGTGCAACAAAATTCATACTAAACCTTCCATTCCACTGCGAACTAACTTACGAGGATCGACTACAAGCTACCGATTTATTACCGATTAGTTTCTGGCATGAATATTTAGACTTGACGTTTTTCTTCAAGATGTTTAACGGGTTGGTGTGCGTCAGTGAGGAGATAATCCCTGAACGGAAGCATGGAAATATAAGAACAACGCGAGCTACGAGCAATTCTGACATCATTACGTTCAGGATTAGAAAATGCAGAACAGTAACATTCCAAGGGTCGTTCATGAATAGAACAGCAAGAGTTTGGAACGTTCTTCCTGCAGAACTGAGACATCAGTCTCTCACTTTACCAAGATTTAAATCTCTGCTGTTAGACTACTTCAAAACTGCCTTATACCTTAATTATCAACCTCAAAATCCTCGGACATGGAAGTCTATCTGCTTAAAGTGTAACACTGCTCGTAGTCTTGCTGCTTCACTCTCTTGCTGTTATTAGTGTCTCATAGTTATTGAAATATAAACATGATTAGGAAGGTTGTAAGTCTTAATTTTATGTTCTGTCTAAATTTGCATAGATTTGTGTCAATTTGTGCACGTCCAGGTTCTTTACTGTTTTGATCTATATTTTTCGAAGTTGTCAGATCTTCCTGGTCTTGTTTATTAAGTTTCAATAGCTATTTTATATTCTATGAATTGTTATATGTTTTATAAAATTTGCAAGCAGCTAATTAAGTATGTTTGTGAAATACAATACAACGAAAACTTCGAGGAATTTGTTTGCTTGGCTTCAAGTTCCAATTCGTGTGATGACTTTGATCAGGTAAATCAAAGTTTTCGTTGTATTTTATTTGTGTTTTATTATCTATTTAAAATTTAAAGGGCCCACAGTAATTGGTAACATATACTGTTGTGGTGACCCTGCCATGAATGCATGCATGATAATGGCGAAGTTAAATAAATAAATAAAAAGACAGAGAGAAATGCCGCTCCGCGCGGAAAATTCCGCCTAGTGGAAAACGGCCTTTACATTTAAATACGTACATTTTTGCGAAAACGTACTAAAGGCCCAAACTCGCAAGCCAGGGTCTTTTACTTCCGCACGGCGCTGCTGTAGCCCAAGCGCAGGTAAAAGACCCTGGCTTGCGAGGTTCCTAAATGCCCTGTGATAGTGCTGCGCTCCAAACGAGTTACCGAGTCTAGTTGTCGAATTTTAACCGCGAGGTGATACCATTGTAAGATATTTATTGGTAAACAGCATGGTTTGGAAATTGGCTAGGGTACCAAAATGGAGCAAAATAAAGTCAAAGCCACTGTTCACACGTGCACAAAGCCACCAAGCGCTTCGTGTAATCGTGTTCATCTCGCTCCGTTTACAAACCGTACTCAAATTTTTTAGACCAACAGGGAAGTTTAAAACTTTTCAAGCAATTTCTCTCCGCCGTGATGTGATCGAAACAGCTAATTACTCGTTGGACACTCTGTCGGGCACAAATAGTCGCTTCGCACGAAATAATTCGCTAGTGGAAACTGGAAAACCGGCTTTAAGCCATTCTCGTGGGTTATTAACCCAGAGCATTCTTACGCGCGGTGCGACGAGGGGCTCTGGCCAAATCCATATCCGAACTGGCATCTGATTGGCTAGTTCTAACACAGGATATTGTTCTCTTAGTATGTTTTTATGGTATCCGGTTATGGATTTGGCCAGAGTCCCTCGTAGCGCTACGTTGACCGCGCGTAAGAAGGGCTCTGGGTACGAGAATGGCTTTAAGCCTGTTTTCCACTTCAATCGTAACGTAGCGTAGCATTTTCTTTTGTGTTGAAGTCATTACTTCCACACTACCCGGCTAAGGAAACAAAGAAATGATACGTTTCGGTACGCCATACGATTGAAGTGGAAATCTGGCTTTAGAGCGGGCAACAAAGGGTGGTGTGCAAGTTACGTCACCGCCGCCATGTTGGATGATGACATTGACAAAGATTTTGCATGTCAATGCAAATATCATTCAACTTGGCGAAAATCTCTTTGTCCTGTGAATTTCATGGGATTGGTTGCACATCACCTATACTTTCTACAGGGTGTATAAAAAAACTGAACCTTCCAAATTCAAATTAGCTATAACGTATTGTAGTAATTTGACAGCTCTAATTGCTTTGAATTAATGATTGGGGAAGAACACAAGGAAATGAAGGAACACTGTATATCTTTTAAATTTTCTAATTTTTATTTCTTGGAGTTTGTCCCATGAGTACAAGACCTTGTGTTCTTATCCAACCATTAATTTAAAGCAATTAGAGCCAGTGGCGTAACGGAGGAAAGGGGGCCCTTAGGCATATATTTGGTGTGGGGGCCCCTGTTGACTGTTGTCATTGCTTGACTGAGATATTATTTTTATATTGAATATTTATAGAATGTTCTGGAAAATTCCGTGTCTATAAAAATAACAGTCTCCAACATATGTAACGACTTATTAATAAGAATAACTTTTGTTCTATTTTTGAGATGGAATAAAAAAATCAGCTACCGCAGTCGATGGAGGCTTTATTATTTAGCATTTTATTTAGCTTATTAATTTTGCATTTTCCCATTGATTCTTAGCCTGCAATTTTTACGCTTTCTATTTTTCCGGGCGATAGGCCGTGGCTGATGGGGGCCCTTAGTTTTTTAACTAACCCTGCCCAATGAGCGTTAATTACTACAATGCGTTATAGCTAATTTGAATTTGAAAGGGTTCAGTTTTTTTATCTGACACACAGTAGTGCAGATCGCAAGCAAATTACTATAATAAATTATTTTTATATTGTCTCCAGAACGCTGTTAAGTTAGCTGCCAAACAATAGTGATTGTAGTAAACAGATGCTAATACACATACTTCGTTTTGTTCTACATGCAAATTATCGTCTCGTGCATATGGCGTTTGTTGTAACCAGGACATGCAGAACTGTTTGAGTTTTAGGGCACGATTAAGTGCAAGCTTTGTGGTAAAACTTTTTGAGCAATCGGAAGAAATATCAATTTTGAATCAAAAAACGACAAAACGGATAGATTTTATGGGAATACGACGTCAATCCACAATATTCAAGGTACGTGAGTTCAATATAATTCTTCATTCAAATGCTGGAATTAGGTCTCGGTAAAATTTCCATACCGTCTGAGTCAGCCGAAATCACAGATTGGGCTAATTATTTGCCACCAACAAACAGCATGTGCAGAGATTTCTCGCTGATATTACTCGGAGAAAGTGTTCCGCGACCTTTAGCTTGCTAGCCAACGCTCCACCGTAAAAGTACAAAAATTTGCCTGACAGCCTACAGTCTTTGGTGGAATACTATAAAGACCTTTAATTTGATGTATAGGACGACGTCGACGGCAAAAGCAAATTCATTCACTGAATATGTGACTGTATAAAAGTAATAAAACAAACTAACTTGCCGCGGCTTATCACTCGTGTGAATTTAATACATTTTGAGGAGCTTAAGACAGGGCTTTCGATACTCATAGTCTGAAACTCAAATCAAACGAGGATGACAGTTTATGAGAGTTGCAGTCACCAAAAACTTGATTAGCTGTACCTTAATTGCAGGAACAGCTTGAAATAACCCATGTCACAGTTCGTGCCTGCAAATTCTCGTCAACTCTCATTCTCGTTTGACTCGAGCTTTAGTTTGGATTTTTGTGCTATTATGTAGAAAACACTTCAAATACAATGTTTTACTCTTTTAAGTGTAATTCGTTCACAATTTCTGTATCTTTATGATAAATTGCTTAAATAGTCAATATCATAGTTAACATTTGTTCGAATTCATTATGTCTTATAATCCAATTGAATTTGGCACCAACATGGCCGCATTAAGTTCAGCACGCAACCACTGTCAAAAAGCGACTTTAGTGAGATGCACGGAAATGCATTTTAACGAAATTTACTTGCTTCCACAAGACATAAAGCGGCAATATGTGTAAAGTTGACCACAAAGCGTTTTCCTATTGTATAAAGGCGGTTTTCCACTAGGCGAAATTTTTCGACCGAATCGAAATTTCTCTTTGTTTCAGAGCTCTCGAGCAGAACTAATTGTAAAAAGACAAAGAGAAATTTCGTTTCGGTCGAAAAATTCCGCCTCGTGGAATCCGGCCTTAAGTCTTGAGTGAAACCCACCTATTTAAACTTTTTCAGGTTGCTAAACCTGAACCATTCTGGTTTGACCGCATTTACCACATCATGTATACCATGCAGGATCACAGTAACCTGAGTATCAGGCCGTACTTTTTAGGGCACAGGCACGCCTGATCGTGGGCGAAGGGGAGAAAAGTACGGCCTGACACAAAAGTGGCATTTTGCCTGGTTTGTTCAGTCCAGAATCTGGACTGAGCGCTGATTGGCCGATTAGACAAACGATTTTTAAATCTGTCATTTGATTGGCTGGTGCTAATTAGATTATACTATTGTTGTTGATATATTTTATAACGATCACAACTACAATTATAGCCGGCCCACTAAACGTCTGAATTTAAATTAAAACTGCAGTAAAATTAGAAAATAATCGCAAATTAGCGAAATATATCGTAAATGTAGCTTATATTAAATCGCCATCAGATTGCACTATCGACTGACGTATAGTTATAAAGTATACTTAATATATATATATATACTATATAATTATACATCACTGTTTGTTGATAAATACGGCAAGCGCCATGTAAAGCTCATTGTAGTCACTGAAACCTCTGCGGAGGAGAGAGCAATCGGGTGGCGATTTAATATAAGCTACATTTGCAATATATTTCGCTAATTTGTGATTATTTTTGTTAATTTTATAAGTTCATTGCAGTTTTAATTTAAATTCAGCCGTTTAGTGAGCGCCTATGCTATAATTAGATTGTTGTTGTCGTTGTGTGAAATTTAAATTTCTCTTGTGACATTTTGATTGGATACTAAATATAAACTTTGCTGTGGGCGGAAAGCGATCAGGTTAAGTTTTGTGTCAGGCTCTATTTGTAAAATAGAGCCTGATACTCAGGTTAATGATGATGCAATCACGTAATCAATAACAAAATCGTGAACAAAATCGCCTGATGATCGTCTAGAAAGGACGTGAAACTCAGAGTAGCGAAATTATATATATATATATATATATATATATATATATATATATATATATATATATATATATATATATATATATATATATATATATATATATATATGGGAATGGTTGTCGCTTGCTTCGGAGAAAGCGACAACCATTCCCAGGTTGGAGCTCTGCGCTGCAGTTCTGAGCGTCAACGCCGTCAAGTGGATAACTCGGGAATTAAAGTTAAACATCACAAAGATCGTATTTTATACCGATTCTAGAGTGGTGCTCGGTTACATCCAAAGTGAAAGTAGGCGTTTCTATGTATACGTGGCTAATCGTGTCGAAATTATCAGAAGTATCTCAATCCGAACCAATGGAGGTTTGTTGAATCAAAGGATAATCCCGCAGATATCGCGACTCGTGGTAAAACACCTTTAGATTTGAAAAACTCTCTCTGGTTCAGAGGGCCTGATTTTCTCAAAATCAATGATCCACCGGCTCAAGATTTGTCAAGCATTGAAATCAATACGGAAGATCCTGAAGTTAGGAAAGAGATATCAACATACGCCAATCAAACTAAGTTGACAGTGAAAAGTCTGGGGTCGGAAAGATTTCAACGATTCTCCAAATGGTCAACTTTAAGAATGGCACTGGCTACACTAATTAGAAAATTAACAAGTTTTAGAACTCGAAAAAATGGACAAATTCCTCCGGACACTCGAGAAACCACGCGACAAATCGCAACACAGCAATATTTATCCTTATCTGACCTAAGAAAAGCAGAAAATCTTATGTTAAAAACAGTTCAGCAAGAATCATACGGACAAGAAATACAAAGTTTGGAGGACTCAAGTAACTCGACAACCCATAGCCAAACGACCTCAACACAGGTAAAGAAATCTAGTTTGTACCGCCTACAACCCTTCTTGGATAATCAAGGAATATTGTGGGTCGGCGGAAGGCTGTGTCACGGTCGTATGGAATATGTAGAGAAACACCTGGCAATTCTTCCTAAATTCTCTCACCTTACCACCCTCGCAATTAGATATTACCACGAGAAAGTTCACCATCAAGGCAAGCAAATCACACACGGGAGAATACGTGACGCAGGAATTTGGATCATGGGAGGAAGTCGACGGATATCGAGCTATATAAACCAGTGTATCACATGCAAGAAATTAAGAGGAAAACCCCAAACGCAACTCATGGCTGATCTACCCAAAGACAGATTGGAAACTCCACCTCCATTTACTAACATAGGCTTCGACATTTTTGGCCCATGGACAGTGCAAACGAGGAAGCTACGAGGCGGAGCATTGAATTCTAAAAGATGGGGTCTTGTCTTTACATGCCTCAATTGTAGAGCCATCCACATAGAGGTCCTTGAATCTATGGATACAAACTCGTTCATCTGTGCATTAAGGTAGTAGATGATCTCGTAATAATGAACGATAATTCTCCATGCAACCAATGGCCTTTCGGCAGAGTAATAGAAGCCATGAAGAGTGAGGACGGAAAGGTTCGAAAGGTAAAGCTAGTCACAGCGACATACGGGGAGAAGAAGCATTATGTACGACCTATCAAAGACCTGGTATTTATTATGCATGCTAATAAATAATCAGTTTATCATGACATTATTAATAGACGATTAGTGTATAGCAAGGACCTTATGTCCTTGGACGAGGAGTGTGATGGTACGTCATGGGCTCTTACCCAGTCTACCAGACCTATATAAACACTCGGACGCAGAATTTGAGTCATATATTTGCAATCAATCGTTTGGAGTTCAATTAATAGTTTGGAGTTTACATTTACTGTAATACTATAACCCCATCATTAACAAAAGTATTTAACAAAAGTTTGTCAGCTGGCGTATTTCCAACGATATGGAAAACATCAAAGATCATCTCAGTTCATACAGCCGGTCCTTTATCTGATGTCAACAAGTTTAGACCCATAGCCATACTTTGTGCTGTTAGCAAAATACTGGAACGTCACATTTACAACAATTTTTATGAGTTTCTCATGAGTCATAACTTATTACACCATGGCCAGTCCGGTTTTCGGAGAAACCATTCATGTGAAACAGCGTTAAGCAAACTTATTAATATGTGGACGGAAAATATGGAGAACGGTCTTATAAATGGGATTGTATTTATTGACCTAAGAAAGGCATTTGACATGGTGGACACAGACGTGCTACTACGAAAACTTACTATTTACAAATGTGATTTTTTGACATTGTCGTGGTTTAAGTCATACTTGCAATGTACAGAACAATGCGTGCAATTCAAAGGTAATTTGTCATCTTCAATGCCTAGCCTCCAAGGTGTGCCACAAGGAAGTATTTTGGGTCCACTATTATTTCTTGCTTTTATCAACGATCTTCCATTATATGCAATTCCAACACAGATATGTATGATGACAACTCAACAATATATTCTAGTGCTAAAACAATTGAAGAACTAAATGTTAAACTAACTCATGATATGTCTAATGTTCATACGTGGTGTACCAATAACAACATGGTAATTAATAACAGTAAAACTAAAGCAATGGTTATGACAACTTACCAGCGTGCGGCCACGTTAAATTCAAATCTACATGTTCAGTTTAATGGAGTGAAGCTAACAAACACTGAGAATGAAAAATTGCTTGGAGTTATTGTCAATAACAATTATGTTGGAAACTACAGATCGATAAAGTAGCAAGGTCGCTAAACAAGGGAATACATCTGTTAAGACAAATAAAGGAATATTTGCCAATACGTTTCAGAGTTCTTTACTATAAATAGTTTTTACAACCTCACATTGACTATTGTTCGACAGTTTGGGGTCAATCGACTGACGTTACAAGAATACACAAGCTTCAAAAATTGGCTATGAGAATTGTTTATGATCAACCAAGACTAACATCATCTGGACCACTATTTAAAGCAGCTAAAGTACTACCTATACAGCAAAGAGTCAAGCTACAAACCGCGATTATGGTATTCAAGGCTCGAAACCAATAGACCTTTCCACTTTTAAGTGAAATTTTGATCTAGACAAGTCTGGACAAACATTTCATCACAGTTTGAAAGAGCATCACAAAACTAGTAATATTCCAAAGTTTCGTTGCGAAATGTTGTAAAATGCGGATAATATAGCCTTGCGAAGTTTGCCATTTTCAGTCATTTTGCATTACAATCTAACATTTTGCATCAGTTTGATCATCTGATGCAAAATGTCGTGATGCTCTTTCAAGCTGTGATGAAATTTTTGTCCAGACTTGTCTAGATCAAAATTTCACTTAAAAGGGGAAAGGTCTATTGATACCGGAATACATTTGTGACTTATTTCAACTGAAGTCGTCAGTGACTAATCGAGTCACCAGAAGTTCTGCGGACAATGATTTGTGGGTACCAAGGAATAAATTGGCAATCAGACGAAAGGCTGTACCATACAGTGGTGCAACAGTTTACAATAGTTTACCACTTGAGATAAGAAACTCTTCTTCGGTAGCATCATTCAAAATAAGAACATATCAATACTTTTTAGAAACTGTTTAAACATAGTCATATGTAATCTATTGTAGTTTGCATATTTGCAAACAAATTTCATGCAAATTGACTGTATTTTACAAAAATGGTTATCCAAAAATAATTACTTTATTACGCAAATTTTACCTGAAAATGTCAAAATTTTAACTTGAATTTTACATATTTTTGCCTGAATTTCACAGTAACTTTGAAAAGTTTAGAGCTCCCCCCCCCACCTTCAGTATATCGAGCCCCCCATTTAATGCCAGATTGCCAGAGAATATTTCGTTGCCCCCCTTAACATCTTCACCCCCCCCCCTCGGCATAATAAATGTACTTTCCCTTATTTATTTATACACTAATAGTCTTGTCCAGACTTTATATTCCTGTTCAAGTTTGAAAATAAAAGTTTGAAAATAAAAGTTTGGAAATAAAATTTTGAAAATAAAAGTTTGGAAATAAAAGTTTGAAGTTTGTTTGTAGTCAGGAAGAAAGCCCACGAATACCGCCTTCTACGCAGGCTGATATTTACATTTCAAAAACTTATTAAATTTGTGAGGAAAACACAAAGAAAAATCATAACATAAGCATGTCGTTTACATGTGATAGAGATTTCCCTTGATTTACATAAACTTTAACTTTGATTTTCTCGACTTACACAATGTATTTTTTGAAAATTACTTCGCCAATGACCATAGTATAGAGCGATCGTTTTTGAAGCAATTTAAAATACAGTGCCGATGTCTTCTTTATCAGACCTAAAGAGTAAAGATATTCGGCTTCGCCTCCTATCTTATATCTGATAAAACACTGCTGATCATGTATTAAATAGTACTAAAAACTAATTTTAGATAAAGTTACATTTTCTCACCAAATATCATTCATTGAATATCTAAAATTGTTGAAGAATACGAATGTTCTCAAACGTTTGATCACAAGTCATACGAAGTATCGCGTACATGTTGTCCCAGACATACACGTACCTCTTGTCTTTGGCTCGAGTTTGTACATTTGATACAACACGGCCGCTCATGCTTTATCTAGATTCTAGGACATAAAATTTACATCCGCAGTGCATGTTTTATCAGACTTATAAAATATACTCGGCTTCGCCTATAGTACTTCAAACTTTTGAAGACCATGCATGTCAAGTCCGCGTAATGTAAATAAATTCTTTGACTCTTTGTTTATATTTTGGACTGCTATATATTTGTAAAATAAGACATACTATTAACTACATATCTAACAGTTTTCTGGTTCGCTATTGTAAATGAATATAAATTACAGTACGTTTAATTTCAATTCAAAACAGTTCGAAAAAATGCAAAATTTGGGCAATGTTTATTTCTGTGGGTCCCCCTTTGTTATGAACAGAACTGATGTGCAGAACGAACTTGACAAGGTCTTTAAATATTAAAAAAATCCAAATATATATCAAAATCAAAAAATACAAAAACTGTTTTTTGCTGTCGCGTCTGGGCCGCCGTAGGAAAGCCATAGCTGGCGTAAGTGATCAAACAGCATTTTGTATACGCGGTGGTTCGAGCATTATACGTGGTGCTTTTGCCATTATACACGCGGTGCATTTGCCATTATACACAGTGGTTCGAGCATTATACGGGGTGCTTTTAACATATAATTTCCATATTCTTTCCAGGCAAAAAAAATATGTGGGTTTCCGGTTTCCCGACCGACCCTACCTAGCTTTTGGACGTCTAAATCCCGACCCTAAACTTTTTTATTGGATCATGCTTGTAAGCGTTTCCACTTAGAGGAAAAAGTTTGTGGAAAATTGAAATTTGAGGCAATATTAGGAAAATGTATCTTTGGATGTGGAAGCACTGACTAAACAAAATGGCGTGCGCTTGTTTGGAAAATTAAAAAAAAAGTTAAAACCGACCTACCGCCTACCTAAGCTTTTATAAGAAGAAACCGGAAACCCACGTATTTTTTTTTGGCCCCCATGCATATAATCTCACGATTGCTTAAACTTGGCATGGGGCTGTGCTTTTTGCCTCTGGTCCTGTGCTTTTTGCCTCTGGTCCTGTGCTTTTTGCCTCTGGTCCACAATGACATGCTTTTAAAGGTTTATTTTATAAAAAGGTGTCTGCACTTTGTGAGTTGTATTTATCATATAGTGTTGATTTATTAGTAATAAATCTGTGTATATAACATAGCTATATAAATTAATATAACGCAGCAAATGCACGCCAAGCAGTATAAACGCAGCAAAATATGATATTAAAATCTTAAATGTGCCGTATCATTTAATTATGTTTTAGGATTTGATGCCTTAATTAACAATGCTTTGTCATTTGTATTTGTACTGCATCACAGAGACGGATTTTCATATTTTCGTTCGGGGGAGGGTGTGAATAAATATCTGGGGGGTGCTGCTGCTTGCTTTGACCGGGGCCTGGTGGCAACGTCCAGAAAGGCCAAGGAAAATGTTTAACAAAACTTGTTTTCTAGGCCTGCATACCCCCCAGAAAATCCATGCCTGCTGCATCACAAGGCTGTGTGTAAGTGAACAGATTCCACATGTGAGGTTGTCTTGTATATATTTTTGCCTTCTTTGATAAACTAGTTACTATGTAATGTTGGACTTAAATTTTAATATAGTTACATCTTGCATTGTGCATTTTCATTCAAACTGATGAAGTATATCATGCATATATTTGCACCAACTGAATGTGTTTTAAATACTGATCATGGTGCGTTTAAACTCATGAAGTATATGTATCATATATATTTAGTGGGGCAGAGTTTTGTGTGTTTTAAATATCAATTCGTATGTATATAAACCGCGTTTCTTAAAAAAGAAGCAAACTCATAAAGATATATCATCAGGGACGGCAGAACTGGGGGGGGGCAGGAGGGCCAGCCACCCCCGTTGCCCTTTACCAGGAGGGACAAGGGGGGCAAAGGTGCCCTTTCAATTTAAAGGATTGCATTGGCGAAATAGCGAATTGTCAGAAATGTTAGTGCAATTTTTTTAAGAACTTGCTTCAGAAAATGGAAGAAATGCAGTCATGGAGCTTCAAGAATAGCACAATTGCCTGGCGGAGAACTCCCCCTCACACCCCTATCATGCAATAAATAGAAAACATGATTAGGCGAAGTTCAACTCCCAACGTTAATTTTGCAAACATCTCTTAGTATATATCACATATTTAAATGCACGGACTAGTGTTTTAAATATCAATGCGTTTATATATAACTAAGCGTATTTCTTAAAAACGAAGCAAACTCATAAAAACATATATTTAAATGCACGGGCTCATGGTGTTTTAAATATCAATGCGTATATATAAACCGTGTTTCTTAAAAACGAAGCAAACTCATGAACACATATCATATTTAAATGCACGGACTTGGTGTTTTAAATATCAATGCGTAGCCTATATATTTAAATGCATGGACTAGTGTTTTAAATATCAATGTATTTATATAACTAACTAAGCGTGTTTCTTAAAAACGAAGCAAACTCATGAAGACATATCATATTTAAATGCATGGACTGCGGTGTTTTAAATATCAATGCGTATACCGGGTGGCGCAAAAAAAAGTTAACCTGTTTGATTTGTTTTAACTTATAAGCTAAAAGAGCTATTGCACGTGAACTATGTGCATTGCATTCAGTATTGTCTAATTTATATTTTGATATATGCCCTGTGAATTTTCGTGCAATATTGACCGAGAGAGCTGCGTTTAAACTTGAGTAACCATTTTTGAAAGTGTCGAGAATTAGCCAAAAACGGCCTATCAAATATTTAATACAGCAATAACCTGTGCTTAGACGCACTATAGTCAGAAGGTACGCGTTCATTGTCAGAGACCAGCCCAACACCTCCAGGAAAACCTCACGAGCATTATTTACCCTTGCATATTCTAAACATGTATTGAAACTCTTTGGCCTTGCGTTAAACGAGTCGTATTTATAAAAAAAACACTTGACGTTTCTTTCTTGGAACATTAGAATTTGATTCCCCAGGGTCATTGAATATTTAGAATAAACCTTTTAATCAAAATTGCTTCATAATTTAATTTTCATGCATTCCCAAAGACCTTATAAACAAAAATAAAAGAGCACATCCATCCAATAAACATTTTAATTTAAACTTCACTTCATTGAAACAAATATTTACGATAAAATAGTAACGGTTGTCAAATTAGTTTAACAGGCCGTTTTTAGCTATTTCTCGACACTTCCCAAAATGTTTATTCAAGATTAAACGCAGCTCTCTCGGTCAATATTGCACGAAATTGCACAGGGCGTATATCAAAATTTAAGTTAGACAATACTGAATGCAATGCACGTAGTTTAGGTGTAATAGCACTTTTAGTTTTTAAGTTAAAATAAATCAAACAGGTTAACTTTTTTTTGCGCCAACCCGGTATATAAACCATGTTTCTTAAAAACGAAGCAAACTCATGTAGACATGATAATATTTAAATGCACGGTCTGGTGTTTTAAATGTCAGTGCGTTTATATAAAGCGTCCAAAGCTTGTTTCTTAAAAATGAAGCAAACTCATGAAGTCATATCCAGGCGTTATAGAAAGCCTGTACTCGTCAATTAAGATAAGATTATGTTTCATCTCTTCATGATTCTTTTGACACTGCAGATGACAGATTGTGAATCCTATCACCGCGGCATACCGTCGGTGAATATCCTAATAATGAGATCATGTTTCTTTTGGCACTGCAGGTGACGAATCGGTATTCGTATTTACCGGTGGTTACAACATTTTTACCATTCGTTGCGTATCGTAATATTGGATATGTATGCCGGTGGTACAGTGTGGTGTAGTTCTGTAAGCTAACAAAAAACCATGTAGCTCTTCTTTCCAATCCTTTCCTTCCATTTTCGCTGTTTTTACAGCCTTACCGAGGGGCTTTATGAATGACTCAGCTTCCCCGTTGGCCTGTGGCCAATAAGGTGTTACAAGCTGGTGATTTATTCCACGATTTCGCATGAATTTCTTCACTGCATCACTAGCAAACGGTGGACCATTGTCCGAGTAGATTTCAGTGGGAATGCCATGAGCTGCAAAAATTCTGTCCAGGCGATTTGTGACGGCGCTGGCAGTAATGGATTTTATTATTTCCAATTATGGGAAATATGAATCAATGACAACAAAAAGTGTTTCCCCCCCGTGGGAAATGGACCGCAAAAATCCATGTGAAGTCTATCCCATGGTTTGGAGGGCAATTTGTGTTGTTGAAGAGACATGCGTGACAATGCTTAATAAACTCTTCTGCATCTTTGTCAATTCGTGGCCACCACACTTTCGTCCTCAGGGCTTGTTTTGTTTTGGCAATGCCCTGATGACCTTTGTGGACATGTGTCATGGTTTCATTTCTAAGCCTTGTTGGAATGATCAACTTAGTTGCACGGAGCAAGAGACTGTTTGGTGTGACAGTGAGTTCTCTCACCGCATAAAAGGGATGATGCTTGGATACTTTCAATCGCTGATTACATTTCTGGATCAACAGCAGTTGCTGCAATAATGGACTCGATACTCATGGCCTTCTCTATAAAATTGATATACTGTTCAGCAATGTCACAATATTCAGTGTATACTACAGGCAGTGGTTGTCTAGAAGTAGATCAGCAGCGTTGCCTTTGCGATATATTATATTAAATTTGTATTGTTGTAAGTGAAGAGCCCCACCATTGGATCCGAGCAGGTGGTTTGGATTTGGGTGAATAAATTACCTCAAGGGCTTTGTGATCGGTGCAAATTGTGAATTCTTCACCAATTAGGTACATGTGAAACCGTTTGCAACCCCAGACGACGGCTAAGGCCTCATGTTCAGTTTGTGAATACCGTTCTTCAGTTAGAGTGAGTGACCTACTGGCATATGCTACATTATGCAAATTACCTGCCCTGTCTGTCAATGTTCAACAATATTGCTCCAAGACCTGTGGGGCTTGCATCGACTGTTAGGCATGTTTTCTGATTTGGGTCATAAAAATGCATGATACAGTCTTTCTGTATAGCTTCTTTAATAGTGGCAAATGCTGCTGTGTGTCTAGGTGTCCATGCATAGGGTGTTTTGGCTACAGTAAGTTCTCGCATGGGGGATGTAAGAGTTGAAAAGTTCTTGATGAATCTGGAACAATAGTTTGCTAGCCCTAGGAAACTATGGAGTTCTTTTGTGTACTTCGGTTCCTTAGCATGCTTAACTTGGATCAGCTTTTTTGCCTGAATCAGTAAGGAGAAAGCCATAGAACCAAAGTTCTCTCTGATCAAATAGACATTTGTCATTATTTACGGTTAAGCCGGACTTGTCTAAGCGTCCAAATAACTACTCTAACCGTAAATTATGTTCCTGTTGTGTTGATCCCCAAACAATTATATCATCCACAATGTTACGAACTCCGTCTATCCCTCAAATGGCATTCTGGATAGCATGATGAAATACCTCGCTGGCTGAGTTGATACCAAAAGGTAATCGTTTATAGCGAAATAACCCATGATGGGTAATAAATGTAGTTATGGACCTGGAACTATTCTCAAGAGGAATTTGGTGATACCCAGCCTTCAAATCAATCTTACTGTATTTAATTGCCCCATTCATACTTTCCATCAGTTCATCATGTAGGAATTGGGTGTTTTTCTCTTTTTATAGCTGTGTTTGCTTGGCGGTAGTCACCGCATACTCTTACTTCATTGGGGTTTCTGGGTTTTGGTGCAAGAACTAGTCCACTCACCCAGTCAGTGCTCTCATCAGTACAGGCTCAATTATATCTTTTTGTAAGTAATCGTCAAGCCAGGTGTCTGTTTGCGTAAATGAAATGGAACACACCTGTTCGTTTGGGTAACAGGGGGTACGTCGGTATTTATGTGAATCTTTTGTTCATGCCCCTTTAGTTTACCAATTCCTGTAAATACATTAGGGTGCCTACCTTTCAATAGGTTTTCTTTTACTTGCATCCAAATCACAGCTACTCTTATCAGTTCCAGAGTCCGACTTGACTTCCGATACTTTCGACACAGAATTAACATTCATGGTAATCAAACGCAAATTATTTTTCACCCTGCTCGGTTTCCTTTGTTCTTATCGGGGAATATATTCAATATTCCCCTCTAATCAATTTCCGTTTAATAATCCCCTCTAATATTCACCTGCAATGTCTTTGCAGCACAAAAAATGAGAAAAAACAACATAACGAAGGCAATATGGCATTAAGAATTATTTCTATTCTTACTCATTAATGCGACCTCACAGTGTGAAAAATAAGTATGTTATTTTGAGGCACCTCGGGGATATGTGTTTATTCATATATATGAATAAATCACATATCCCCTTGTTGCCTCAAAATAACCTATACTTAGTAGATGTCTCACAACCGAGAATTGAAGTAGTGCCTTGAGTTCCCTTCGTGACATAAAATGTAGCAGCAGCAACACGACGCTGTGAGTCAACTAGAACTTCAAACTTTCCTTTCAACTCAACTGGTTCTGAAGAGCCAAATGCATAGATTCTAGTTTTAGTCTTTCGTAAAGAGATTTGGTCCTTTGAATTTGTACAGAGAAACTCATAGTCCTTCTGTGTCAAAATGTTCACTGAAGCTCCGGTGTCAATCAAAAACTCTACTTTCACCCCATTAATTTTGAGTTTTGTCATGGGTGGTTGCTTCACTTTCTTGGCTCTCGAAACAGCAAATATATCCTCATTGCTATCACCGTCGCTTACTTCCGGTTCACCTTGTACTGTTCGCTCAGTAGGGAGTGGTTGCTGTTGCCGATTTTGGTTCAAAGTATTCAACTTGTTTGCCTTCGATTTATATTGGTCCTGAGGCATTCGAGGTTTTCGAGAGATTGGTTTTTGTTCAGACTTACAAACTCCAGCAAAATGTTCAGTTTTTGAGCAATTATGACAGGTTTTGCCTGCAGCGGGGCAGGGCCTGCCTTGGTGCGGGTATGTCCCTCCACAATTATAACAAGTTTGTGCTTGTTTACCTTTTATATCTGTTGGCGGAAAATCTCGTCTGGTGTTTTGATACACAGCCTCCTGACGGTGTTGCTTTTCCATTTCTTCAGCATGGTGATCAGAAATTTCAGTGCTCTCACGTATTTAATCAAATCATCTAGCTTGGGGTCATCCCAAAATGCTTTCCTTCAGAGTCGACTAGACCTGCAGTTTTCACGATTTGCATTTTAATCTCGTCCTCTACATTATTGAATTTGCATGTCGAGGCACAATGTCTCAGTCGTGTACAGAATTGGTCAATTGTTTTGTCAGATCGCTGGCTGACTTGGGGAAAAATATGTCGCTCGTATAGAATGTTTTTCTTCGGCGCGAAATACTCTGTCCAATTTCTCTATGGCTTTATTGAAGTCGTTCTCTTCTCCCGTATCAGAGAGCATGGCAAATATTGTTTCCACCTTTGGACCGGCCAGGTATAACAATAGAGCTTGTTTCCTTGCTTTGTCTTTGATGTCAAAAGCAACTATACATCCTTTGAATCGTTGCAGCCATTCTTTCCACTGCGAAGCCAGCGAACTTGGCTCTGAATGAGGATCAAACTGTTGAATTCCCGAGAAATCTAATCCAGCCACAGTAATCGAATATTGAGGTTATCCTTGTCACCAATGCTATATTGTGAGAAACGATAATACTTATAGGAAACTACTATGAAATATATATATATATATATCGCTTCTTCTATGCCTTGTGTCTCTGTGTCCATCCTTCCCCGTAAGTCCTCTTCCTCGAATCCCACTCCCAAGTTCACTTCCGTCTACTACGTACTTCCGCTATTAGAACACAACAATGACGCGTGTTTATAGTTCCCAAATTCCCAACCAACCTGGCAACTGGCGTGGCCAAAGTTTCGTGAAATCAACTGTAATACTTTTGTATATGCCACAAATTGACATATTAGTTTTAGAAATTTAAAACACTCCACGTCACGTCAGTAGACTAGATGTCTATACTGTCTAGACACCTCGACTTTCGAGCCTTTAATTTCTTTAAAGGCTTTAATGTGTATTTAAACAGTAAAACTGGCTACATTTTTTTCAGTGATTTTGTGTTTAAGATACAGTGATAAGATTTTAACTTACAAGTGGTCTTATTCCCTCGAGTAATACAATATGGGATTAAATACGCACAACAAAAGTGTCAAAAACAAGACGGAGTGTAGATTACTAGACTATAGAGTTATTTTTCTTAAAAAAACGAAAAAAATTGCGAATATCGGCAAATAGCCTGATTAATCGGCTCATCCGTACTGATTAATCGGCTCATCCCTACCTTTTTTACTATTAACTCATTAAGCGGCAATGCGCCCGAATGCGCCCTGAGATTGGCAAGGGGGAAGCGGCAATGCGCCCGAATGCGCCCGAAACGACACGCCATTTTCATTGGCCGATTGCTAAAAACATGCATTTCGTGTTGCTTAGCAACGGGCACCTATAAAAACACCTGAATCCGCTCTTTCAAATGAGACCTTGTGCAAGCTTGTACAGTTAATATTGTCCAAGTTACGAGAGTTTTAAAACACCTTTTTGCGAATTTTTTTTTAAATATGGCTGAAGCACTTAGTATGTTCGACAGAAGTGAGGACGAAAGCGATTTTGAGGGGTTTTTAATCGATGAAACGGTTGAAGAAACACGGCCTATCACAGCGGGAACATCGGCGGTTTCGTCAAGAGACATAGCGGGCGATTCGGACGACGATGAAGAGGACTTTCACAGTTTTTCTGACATCGAAGTTCAACTCGACAGCGATAGTGTGAGTGAAAGTGGAAGCGAGATAAGTAACGATAGTTTTGATGGTATTTTTGAATGGAAAGATAATTTAAGTAGTGTCTAGTGTTGAAGACTTTACTGCCGACTTTGGTCCTCGACATGGGTTGGATTTAGACGCTTCCCCTAAGGACTTTTTCGACTTGTTTTTTGGCGATGCGTTTTTCGATCTCATTGTGCATGCTACAATTTCGTACGCCTGTTCAAAATGCAACAATCCAAATTTTATAACCGACCGCGACGAAATGTCTGCATTTTTTGGCTTGAATATTTTGATGGGAATAAACAAACTTCCAAAAATCCGGTCATACTGGGATTCAAATTTATTTTTAGGAAATGCCGGCTTTAAAACAACAATGCCTTCCAAACGTTTCCATATTTTGAACAAGTATTTTCATATTTCGAACCCACGGTAAGAAAACCCAACCAATAAACTTACAAAAATTCGGGCCCTTATTTCAAAGCTCGAAAATGCTTTTCAAGATGTTTATGTGCCTGGAAAAAATATTTCGATTGATGAGGGTTTGATTAAATTTAATGGTCGTTTATCGTTCAAGCAATATATGCCTAAAAAACCGAATAAATTTGGTATCAAAATTTGGATGTTAGCCGATTCTGAAACTTACTTCGTGCCGCACTTTCAAGTTTACTTAGGTAAACAACAAAATGCCGATGAAAATGATGCGGAAGAGGCGCAAGGTCTCTGTTTTAAAGTTGTCGATTTCCTGGGAAAACCCTACTATAATACTTACCATCATTTCTATTTCGATAACTATTTTTCCTCGGTTCCTTTACTCGAACATTTGCTTGAAAATAAAACTTACGCATGCTTGACCTTGCGCCACAACAGGAAATATTTTCCTGCTGATTTGAAAAAAATAAAACTTAAGCGTGGAGAAATGCGAACTCGGCAAAATGAAAATTTAGTTTGTTTGACATGGCAAGATAAACGTTTAGTCACAATTTTATCGACCAATGTCGATCCACAGCCCGAAGTTTTCGGCCCTTTAGATGAACGCACTGGAAAAAGTAAAGCCGTTCCCGAGGAAGTGCGAGAAAAACCCGCCGTCATATCATTGTATAATAAGTATATGAACGGTGTGGACGTAAACGACCAGTATAGGAGCTACTACCCTGTAGGAGCTCAATCTAAAAAGTGGTGGAAATATTTGGCTTGGTTTTTTGTGAATATTTCAATTGTAAACAGTTTCACATTACAAAACTTGCAGACTGATCGACGACGTCGCCTAAAATATTTAGATTTCCATCTTGCTTTGGCAAGGCAACTTATTTCGACCTATAACAGCTACAAAAAGATTTCTAGTGCTCAGAGTGGCCGTAAAAAAGATGTTCCAGTGGGTAGAAATGTTAAGGGCCATAGTTTAGTGAAGTCTTCAGAGCGAAAATGAGCATGTGGGATGTGTTCGAAAGCGGGAAGGAAGCGTGCGTCGGGAAGAACGTTTGAAAGTATATATAAATGTGCTCAGTGTAATGTAAATCTTTGCAGACAGCAAGCTTGTTTTATGGAATGGCATCAATAAAGTTTGTCTTACTATTAGACAAAACCATTCAATGTTTGCATGTTTTATATTATGCTGTATGTAGTGTTTTTTAATAAAAGACTGGCTCTTTGCCAGGCAGTTTGCCGAACAAGGAAGCCATGTCAATGCAGACAACAGCTCTGCCATCATCTATCACAGTAAATTTCAGATTTTACCCCCAAACTCTGCTCGTTTCATTTAAGTTTAGCAAGTATATAAATCACAGGTAAATTTCAGTAAAATTAAGACAAAAACCAACCCGTCAAGGCATGAATTTATAGGTGTATTTTGTTTTCAAATATTGTTATGGAAACACAAATTATACTTTATACATTATATATTTTTTTGCATGAAAGCAACTAAAAATATGCATGAAAAAACTCATATTTTTAGTAATACAACCCCATTCATTATAAGAATTTAAATCCTGGCTTTTCAACTATTTTGTAAAACAAAAATCATAAAGGAAATAATATAAATATTAAAGTTTATAGTATTTCAAGCTTTTAAATATTCAATGTCTTAATTACAAAGGAAACATTTTTCAGAAATTAGCTATGTATGAAGTTCTCACTCATTTATCTTGTCTGTTATGGATCTAGTTGTGCTTATTTATACAAAAAATGAAAGCTTATTCATTACTCAATTGTCTTGCCAAATTTCATGTTTTACCATTACATTGCACTTGAGCTAGAACCATTTGTTGCACTTTTCTGTCTTACACCGCAAGACAGTTGCGCTTCGTGGGTACTGTATACTATCAGAACAATACCATCGGAAATAGAACACACACGCGTACTTTAAAACATATTTATTTAAAACTATTCAAACGATAAAATACATAACATGACAATCCATCTGGTTTTCTCTCGTGCTTTCAGTCTGACAATCAATTCGAAGTCTAACATTTATGACATACGATACCATTTCTTACGTCAATCAACTAAATCACCCATTGTTTGGTCTCCTACGGTGTTATCAATAGTATAATGTTACAAATTATTCTACACACTCCCCCCTTTGAGCCTGTAAGGGTCAAACATGACTTGTGTTCTCCAACGTGCATCCAACGCAGCTGCTCTCCTAGGTCTATTACTATGGACACAGCTTTCCACCTTACCCTTCTCTCCGTCTTTCTCATTCATTTCCGTCTTTCCTTTCTCATTAATTTTCGTCTTTCCTTTCTGGTTATCATACCCATCCACTTCATTTTCAACTTTATTATCCTTTCTTTCTTCCGTACTGCTTCCGTTCTCATTTAACTCTACAGGATACAATTTCTGAACTGGTCTATTAAGATATACTGGATTTCCTTTAGTCATCACTCTCACTTTCGCTCCTCGAACAACTTCATCTTTACCGACAATTAAACTCTCAATCCTACCTAACTTCCAAAATCCTCTCTTAAGGTTCTCGTCAAATACTAAAACTACATCTCCCTTCTTCACGTTCCTATCCCTCTTCTCCCTCTTGCTTCTATGATGCTCTCTCAAATTCGTCAAATATTCTTTTCTCCATCTCTCCCAAAAGTGAACTCGCAGTTTCGCTAGATGCCTAAACCTACGCTTAACCTTTGTCTCATCATTCTCTTCAATTTTGTAACTAGTCTCGTCTGGAATTAAACTCAATCTACGACCAAAGATCAAATGATTCGGTGTTAGTACATCGTTTTCAACCTCATCGTAAATGTAGGTTAACGGCCTCGAATTCAACGTGCCTTCAACCTCAACTAAAGTTGTCAACAGTTCTTCGAATGTCAACTTGGCATTCCCCAGCACCTTACGTAAACACCTCTTCACCAAACCAACCAACCTTTCAAAGAATCCTCCCCACCAAGGCGCTCTCTCTAAATTAAACTGCCATTTCACACAATTATCTTGCATATAAGCTCTCACATTCCCGCTCTCGTACAACTTCTTCACTGCTTTCTGTGCCGCCTTAAAAGTTTTAGCATTGTCTGAAACAATAAGCGTCGGTGCCCCTCGCCTGCTTGCAAATCTCCTCAAACAGTTCAAGAAACTAGGCGCACTAAGATTTCTTACCAAATCCAAGTGAACTGCCCTCGTGACACAACACGTGAACAACGCTATGTACACCTTCACCATCCCACCACCTTCCTTTGCGTGCAACGGACCAGCAAAGTCAACCCCAACTTTAGCAAATGGTGGTAACTCCCGCACCCTGAAGTCCGGTAAACCTGCCTCATCAGGTTTTCCATAAGGCTTACCCCCATGTCTCTTACAGACAACATACTTACCGATCACCTTCTTCACTATTTGACGTCCTCGTGGCACCCAATACTTACCTCTCAATTCTGCCAGAGTAGCTCTGAGCCCGCAATGATGAACTCGTTTATGGCATGCGGATATAATCAACTCTGTTAGCCAATGCTCCTTCGGGAGAATAATTGGTTCCCTAGCTGCTTCTTCTAAATCTGAATTAGAGAGCCTACCCTTGCATTTTAAAATCCCATCTCTATCAATCAAACCTAACTGTTTTACTAAATGCTGGAAATCTTTCTTATTCCTCAAACTGACTTGAGCATCGTTAATCAATGCACTCTCTGCATATCTTATCTCCTCTACTGTCAAATTACCTAAATAAATTTCCCTATCTTGTGATTTTGCCTTTACATTCTGCACAAATCTCATTACCCAAGATGTTACCCTTATTAACCTATTAAGCTTACTATATGCCTTAACATCAATTACATTCTCTAAGCTGGCTGATTCACTATCAACCTGCACTGTCATTGTGACCGACTTCTTAACTTCCTTCAAACTATCTTCTGTTTCTGTAATCCCTGTAGCAATAGGCCAGTCTACTTGTGGACCTAACAACCAATTGGGACCCTTCCACCAAAGTGCACTCTCCTTCAATCTGGATGGGGATACCCCTCGTGATCCTAGGTCTGCGGGGTTTTCTAGGCCAGGGCAATGTCCCCACTCTTCCTTTTTACTCAGTCTTAAAATTTCGTTAACCCTATGTCTGACGAACTGTTTCCACTCGCCCTGGTTATTGATCCAGCACAGTGCTGTCTTGCTGTCAAGCCAATAGTAGGTGTTGCTTATCTCGACATCAACTGAAAGTGCTGATCTAACTGTATCCATCAGCCTAGCTAGAATTAATCCAGACATCAGTTCTAACCTAGGAATGGTTTGTGCTTTAATTGGTGCTACCCTAGTCTTTGAAGTAAGGAGTTCAACATGATAATTACCATTTAATTCACAGACATAATACACAACTGCACAATAGGCTTTCAAACTACAATCATAGACAAATTTACTCGGACAAACATGGCAAATAAATTATTTTTTGAACCATTTTCATATATACTTCGTAAAGTCGGTCCCCCCTCCCCTGAAACAATGTTGATGAACACCTCAGTCATTATGGCAACTATTGCAGTATCTGTAGCAACAACATTGTAACGGGGGAGCGGGGAATACGGCTGAATATGCGTATAATTATTCAGTGACCGGGAGCGGGGAATACGGCCGAATATGCGTATAATTATTCGATTCCTTTAAATTTCAGCCTTTTTTAATCAGCGTCCGCATGTTATTTGTCTAGGATTGTCTGAAAAACTGTCGGTTGTATAAAGCATGAATTATTGTATAATTGCAACCCATTTTCACATTTTATAAGTGCCGAAGTTCTATATACACCTGAATAAGAAATGATATTCAAAATATTTAAAATTAATGTTAAAATATGCAAATATATTTTATAATTACAGTTAGTTGGATAGATTGTTGGCGTCATATGATTAACGTAATGTGCGTATAAATCGCAACGTGGCGAAAACGTATGAACGGAGACAAGAGCTTTAGCTCCTTTTCATAGAGAATATATAGGACTGAGTTATTGCTGAATAGCCATACGATGTGGAATATCAAAATCAACGGCGCATGCACACAATACGTTGGAAGCAAATTAACCGTGTGAGTACATGTGTCCGCAAGCCATAAGGTCGTCCAAAATCTTTAAACAAAAGGGATGAAAGAATTCTACTCAAAGCTCTAAAATAACATCGAATATAATAGTATAATATAATTATTCACTGTTATATGGCTGATATAGAGTAGTCAAAATATTTTACACACACTAGCCTGTATAAATGCTTATAGTGAGCATGTTCTGATAATACTCTAAATGTGTCAATTCTTAGCACAAAATTGAAGAATTAAATCTTTATCATGACCTGCTTTGTTATATCTGTGGCCGTATTGGTTAGTGCAGGTTACGCGCTAACTTGCGGTAAACGAAATATTTTGGTTCTTGGACTTCTCGGCGGCCGACGGTAAACACACACAACAAATTTTAACCTGTCACTGACAGATTTCCCAATAAATTTCCATTTCACATGCTTTCTTATAGCCAAATTATCTACATTGCATTTATGATGATACACGGTAAATCTTTGGAAAAAACAGGAAAATATCACGGTAAACATCCGAGGACTCCCATTATAAATATAATTACTCAATGATTCTTAATTATTCAGCAACTATCGCTTTTTTCAATATTTACCGTGGGCATTTTAAATACAAGGGTTTAGAATTAATATATTTCATGATACTATAATCGCATAGAGTTTTTACGCAACTAGATATAAAATAATTGTCATATGCTTCTTTCTATCATGCGTTAACACGCAAAGAGATAGACAAACACGACGGTAAACGCATCGCTATCTAGTGAGCATATGACAAACCGGAAGCGAATGTTCCTTTCATTAATCTCTACCGCTCATTTTGCTTTATTACTCTAATACAGTCATAATATAGCATTTGCAGAATTTCCGACTGTTTTCCAATGCAGAAAAAGATAATTAACAAAGATTTATTGTAATATACATTTTCGGACAATCATAGACAAATTTACTCGGACAAACATGGCAAATAAATTATTTTTTGAAACATTTTCATATATACTTCGTAAAGTCGGTCCCCCCTCCC